AAACTTCATTCTTCCAACATCATTTTCAGTACAACGCTACAAAGCTGTACAATAGCCTTCCTCTGGGGTTGAAGACCGAGCAGGATCACCAGACTTTCAAACGAGCAGTGAAGAGACTGCTCTTGAATGGGGTTTACTACAGCGTCCGGGATTTTTTGGCTGGTAGTCATAACCGCTTGTAAATAGTTATAAAAATGTACTACATAAGAAGTTTTGTATTTTAGTTTATTTTGACATGGCTAACGCTGATTGTATTTGGTTAATTTGGCTAAATAAATGACTTATGACTTATGACTTATAACTTATGACGGATCAAGATTTTTTTTAAACTATTTGCGGCATTGTAATCAGCGTAAAATTCTTGTTTGGAATAATGGGTCACAACCCTACCTTTACATTTGAAAAAAACTTTGTATACAATATGGCGGATCCAAGATGGCGGCTAAAAAATTATACCCAGTCAAAATGAAGTACTTACTACTTTACAATGATCTGACGTGGTCCGGAGTTGATATCTTAAAAAAATGTAGAAAAAAGGAGGGGGGGGACTCATTTAAAAATCACCCTGTATAATACGCTAAGCCGATTTTTGTGAACAGAACTCCTCCATCATTTTTTGACCGATTTTTATGATTAGTGTCAAAAGAATTGCCCTGATCTGTAGTTTTGCAAAGTGTTTTTCGTTTTTTGATATCTTTATTAGTTTGGGCAGGAACTTCCATCAAAGTTGAGTTTTCTCCCATAAGATTAACATGGGAGAATCTAAATATTTAATTGGAAACTTTGTCTCCACTAATTTGAGAGAACGGCTGGACATAGATACTTGGTACATGTGTCCAAAGAAAGATCTTGATCTGCAGATGAGTTATCAAAAGGAAAACGAAGTAAATTCTCTTAGGGCTCTGCCACAAAAGCCTTTAAAAATCCCTCCACAGATTTGTTTACATTTTGGCCATGTGGATAATACTTTTTAATAAAACATCTGTTAATTTTAAAATTGTATTTTAAACAGCACACGTTTATTGGGAGTTACTGAATAGTCCAAAAGTAGTATTTTTAATGTTATTTTCCGATTTTAAAATTGATTTTCTTCTATATCATGTCATGTGTTGCATTATAAAGTTCCATTACGAAATCAGTGGAAAATACTTTAATCACAATAACTCTAACAATTGTTTCTTATTGAACTATCTTATATCTATTTACAGGTTGGTGTCTGGATTTTTCACACCTTTTCCCTATATTTTATCATATTATTTTAGAAAGATCATCGTAGGTTCATGAGATTATTGTCATACATGCTTTCAATCATTGGAAAATCTTCGATTGCGTAATATACAAATATCCAATACAAAATAATACAAGTGCAGAAGGGCACGGTGCCCATTTGAGCCGTGTCCATATTTTGTTAAATATAGCAACTGGATAAAAAAGTTTACAATATTTATGTAGAAATATGTGCATGATTTAGAAAGTCATTAAGCTGGAAAACTGCAATATACTGCAGACTTTTCAGAGAGGGTACTTCGATGTATTCATTCAGCTTAGTGAAAACATAATATAGATATGTATACAAATAAGAACTTGAACTCTTAGAGAGCCTTTGAATGTTATTAGATTAACGAAAAGGGTTGTGTATGTTTACTAGCGCTACTCAGCAACAAAAACCATTTAATTTATCTCTAAAATATATATTCTTAAAGTGCACTGAGCAGCAGCCTAAAAAATCTATATAATAGAGTTACAATGCACACACTCGCATTGTGACATTTATAATTCGGCTTATATTTCTCCAACAGAAAATTCATCTACAAAAGAATTTTATTGTGCTCTTACCGTTTCTAATAACATCCAAACACAGAAACCTTGTCTAAAATAGTACCTATCTTGACAAATTATTTGCAGTGGCCTATATTACGGACCGTAGCCCACTGCGTTGGTAACATTATTGAAAATAACACGATATTTTGGCTGTAAAAATTGCCCAATGAGTAAATACTATTTAAACAACTACTGTCATGACAGAAAGGTCATATTCCTTTTAAACTAGATCACATCATCTTTTATAAGATACGTTGATTAACAATGCATGTAAACGTCAATATTTACGTATCAGCCAATTTAAATTATTTTTTGCTTTTTATGTCATTCGCATTATTTGTTGCCGATAAAACTGCACGACCATATTAATGAGGAGGCTCCTAACAGTTCAAGAATAAAAGCCAACTTCACTTCAAGTATATTCAACTACACCTAACATTTCGTAGAGAGATTATATTGACAACTTTATGTAACTGATAAGGCTGAGACAACTAACTGACATCCCCCATGTCAAGGAATTTCAGCCTTAACAGTAACCCCACAACCAATTTCTCAAAACTGTGCTAGAGGGTTATTTATTGGCACAAAAGTACGATATGAACTGACGCGACAAAGGAAAAATCAAACTTACACTGTAACGGATATACCTCCCTTTGAAGTTAGAACGAGTCTTCCCAACAGATTTTTTTTCAAATAAAATCAAAGATTAATCTGCATTACGCACTGATGAAACCACGGAAGTGTTTAGCTACAAAAGATCCACCAATACAGTTTTAATACTATTTAAAGGTTCTTCCAAAGGAAGGGATACCAGATAGCATACTAACAACTCCGATGACGTAGGCCTACAGTATGGGAAATATTTTATTCATTGAATGATCAACCATATTTGGTAACTAACGCAATTGATATTATTATTATTTTTACACTTATTAATATTCAAACAATGTTAAATGCTCAAAATATGTATAATTTCACCCAATTTATCGCAGTTAGATGAATTAGCATATGCCTTGAAAGTAACCGTCGATTTCACCTAGTATAAAATAAATACGTGTTCAAACACTATACAACACGTTTTTAGGTTAGGTTAAACCCAATTCATGAACGGAATGGGAAATACTGCACCAGCTGATTATAGTGGTAGTATTTTTTAAGTGTTACTAATTTTCAAGAGTACAGGTATAAACAGTAATAATCAGTATAAACACATAATAAACAAGTAGATTGTTCTTCAAAATATGCCAATAAAATATGTTCTGGCAGTTATGTAACTTTCTTACTTTACGCGCCAAGAGGAAATCAGTTCGTATGCTCGTTCATACTTCTTTCTTGAATTTTCAGGTAACAGGTTTAATGAAACATGTTTTCAGTTTCTGCTATTTCTGATCTACCATTATATTCACAATCACTTTCACTGAGTTCGTTATTTTTAAACATGTTAGGCCCACTTATAATTCATCTTTCAAATAGGTACTACACTTCTGGTTATGTTCAAACCAAGCGTTGAACGAAAATAGAACATAAACTATAACACACGAAATGACAGGTTAAATCGTAGTTATAATAGTCAATCAGCTGATCATAGTATTATTGTCTTTAAGTGTTGCCAACCTATTTCCAAGCGTACACGGATTACGTGCATTATAAAACCACGCTGTTTTGTGTTGTTTGGTTGGAATCCTGATGTGCGCCAAAGTATAAACCGTCCGACAAAGTATAAACCACGTACAACAAAGTATAAATATGCAGCAATTAGCAGCTTTATGTACTATAAACAGTACAAGGAAGCCGACTTTGTCGGGTGACTGTAGGAAAAGTGTTTACCACACTTAGTGCCTATTATAGTTGAATTAAGTTTTGTTTCTAAAATGAATAATATATGTGTGGCCATTTCATACGGCAGATCAACTAAAGGAATATCATTATTCTCCTCGTCCTCTTCCCGTTTAGAAGCGTAGGTACCTATGTCAGTTCGTACTGACTCGTATAGGCCTAAATGTGTAATGTTTCAATAAACCCATAATAGAATATTTAGAATACAACCATAGAAAACACAAAGTTAATACAGTGCGAATCGTATGACGAGTCAGTACTACGATAACGTAGAAATTTAGTTCATATGTGAGAGCGATATTCTAATAACCACGCCGCAGCAAACCTGCAGACTAAGCGAATTTCCATTTGCCTGATTTGGTTTTCAATTAAATCTATTAAAATAATATTAGGTCCCTAGTAGCACAAAAATATATTAAATACATATGAATAAATATATTTAAAATCTATTTGTTTATATCTCAAGTGTGTATTAATGTCAATTTTATATAATTTTTAAAATATATTAAATATCCTTTTAGAGTGTCGTGAGTTTGTTTTTATGTATGGATTAGATATCAGTGATACTATTGTCATATGTAAAACAACCGTAAACTACAAAGCATAAATAGACGAATTAAGTTTGTTAAAGCCCATAAAATTGTATCATGTTTGGGAGGCTACATCAGTTGACACTAACCACGTAAATGTCACAATGTATATGATACTTCAGTCTACCAACTCTCTGATAAATGCTTGACATTCAGTCCGCGGGGATCATAGTTATAAATAGTTATATTTAAAATACAATGACCATTATTTTACTTGGTTCACGTAAATGCTTTCCAAATTTATATTTAGTCCGAGTAAACTTATGAAAATTGATAACTAATAACGTAGTTTTCACAAAGTGTTGTCATTGTATTTTGAGAAAAATAAAAAAAAAAACTTAATGTAACTTTTAAAACTAGGTAGTTATTTTTTTATCAGTTTATTTACAGAGTTGTGTTACAACAAAGTTGTAACTATAAAAAGTAATATGTCCAATTTCATAACATAAAATGGTTGTTTGTTATTTCAAGTTACCTATGCTCAAGACCGAAAGTAAAATACCGAAACAGCAATAGGTCAGTGTTATTGTAATTTTAAATATTAAAAATATAATACCTCCTAATTCTGAGGAGAATGATGACATTGATAATGTCCCACTCTAATGCAATTCTAATTATCAAACTCGAAGGGAAAGGATAAAATATATGTGCATTATAAATCACGGGGACAGGACTTTCCATGTTCACAACCTTGCCACTGTCTACCCGCGCTACGTCAGTACACTGCGACGTCACCGCATAGTCAACAACAAAATATCCTCCAGGAAAACATAGCGACATAGCGTCCCACGGCCACTATGAGGACGAGGCGGTCTAAATGTGTAGATGTGAGGAGCCAGTCGAGCCTCTGACACCGACCTGACGACCTCTTGCAGTCTACCTGATAACAGAACAGCATTGTGTGGTATTCTCGGCTCTCGGCTCAGTTGAACGGAAGTGATCCCTTTTACAACATGCCCGAACGTAACCCACCGGTCAAATACATCCAGGTAACTGATAAACATTACACTGTGACTGTGTAACATGTAGATATCATGTACAGGGGAGTTAGACAAGGTTTAAGTTACCATAAAACCTTTATATAGCTGTAGTTCCTGTTGTAAGATAGATAGTTTTACTTAATCTATGGCGTCATTTAAAAGCTATAAAAACTATTAATTTACCTGCAATTGTTATTGTCAATAGTTTCTTTTCTGATGTCTTCCCAACTTATTCTTTTTTATTTGTTTTTTTTTTTTGTGTTCTGCTCTAGGTTTATTATCCTGATCCAGTACCAGGAGACCCTTGTTGAACTAAACATTAAGTCTATTAAATAAGTGCTCAATTAGCTAAATTAAAGATATTTATTATGTACCGTAGGGTTTTAATATAAACACATTTTATATGATATAAAGAAAACACTTCAATACACCTTTATTACCTAGGTTGTAATCAAAATAACCTGTATCAGCTGTTTTTATTAACTGCAGCCACAAAAAGGTATTGGCAAGGTAACTTAGGCTCTTTAAAGGGCTGTAGGGCGGAAACTGGATTTTCCCGGCCTTGTGACCAACTCCAATCGATTTCTCGTGGCAAAATACCACATATAATAAAAAAAAAGAAAAAAACAGTTAAAATCCTTGGAATAAAATAAAATTATGTCCGTACAACTGCTTGTTGTAGAGTAGGATTTCTATAATATTTTATTTGTTAAAATTTGTTGTTCATTGACTGAAGTGTCAAAATGAAATTGAAAACTTTATAGTTTTTTCAGATTTATGAAGATTTTTATGGGTTTCATTTTAAAGCCTTAGCAAAGCAGTCCAAAGCAATCTCATCAGTCATCAGAATACCAAAATAACATTAGGTCAATGATATTCCTACCAAGCAAATCACAATACATACCATACCTCAAGAATTACAGTTTAAATTTCTGAATCCACACAACACTTTGCGGTTTATTAATATTTTTTACTTTTTTCAGAACTTCATCAATAACGAGTTTGTGGACTCTGTTAGCAAGAAAACTTTCCCAGTTCTCAACCCTTCAACTGCAGATAAGATCTGTGCAGTGGCAGAGGGAGACAAGGCAAGCATTTATTAGTACTTCTTCATTTTCAGTTTAAATTTAATTGTGTAATAAAGTTTAATAAATAATAATAAAAGGTCTAAAAATTAAATTTATTTCACTCTAGGGTGAAAGATAAATAAAGTCAAAAGCTGAAATGCCGCTCAATGTAGTTGCTTGTTGGGTCACTAGGATTGGACATTCTAAAGAAAATAGTTTATTTGAAGAAAAACTTATGTCCTAAAAATCCATTTTTAAGACAGAGCTAACAAGATCAACACACAGCAACACTCATCTGGACCAAAGCACTTTTTTTGTACTAGTTTAGCTAAATTTGTGTTTTTTATAAGGGTAAAGGGAATGAAACTAAAAATGCTAATATTCTAATTTGTATCCTGTTCAAATGAGTATTTGCCAAGAAAAATATTAAACAACATTTCATTTAAGAGTAAATATCGATTATGTCAACATAGTATTTATTTTCCACAAAACTAGCAGCCAGCGTCAATTCGTGACTTCAAAATCTGTGATATATTTTAATTCATTTACAATTTTCTATTGCTCTGAGTTAAGTTAAAAATTATGTATTTTTACATGATAATCATAAACTTATCACTGACGTGTAATTATTTTACCAAAACTTCAACATAGTCTAAATTTGTAATTAGTTTTTCCAATATAGGCTAATATAAAATCATGAAAAAAGTGAAACGAACTTATGCATAAAAAAAACTCCTTTGGATAAGTGTAAGCTACGTTATTTGGGAGCGTTTCTTAAACTCCAAATTTCACAAATTCCAACGCTTAAAATATTAAATGAACAGAGCGTTTCATAATGTCCAAATTCCATAAGCTCCAAATCTATAACATTCAAATAATCATCGTTTCACAATGTCCAAATTTCACAAACAACAACGTTTAAATACCAACTAAACTGAGCGGTTCATAATCTCCAAATTTCATAAGCTCCAACTGTACAGTCTGGGCCAGAAGTCTCTACAGTGATTGGCACGGTCAGATAGCAGGCACCGTCCGCCGCCGCTCAACTACTGATTATACGTGCATTTTAATGACTGAAGAACACTTAGCTGTGTGACTCAACTATGTGTTAAAACATAGGCTAATGTGCAAATTGAATTTACCACGGTAAACCAAGGCAACCTCTGCAGCGACTTCTGGCAGAGACTGTACCGTTGGAGCTTATGAAATTTGGAGATTATGAACCGCTGTGTTTATTTAATATCCTAGTCGTTGGAGTTTGTGAAATTTGGATTTGGAGGTTGTGAAACGGTAAGTATTTTTTAAAGTTATATTTTTGGAGTTTATGAAATTTGGACATTATGAACCACTCTGTTTATTTAATATATTAACGTTGGACTTTGTGAAATAACCGTTGGAGTTTGTGAAACTTGGACATTGTGAAACGGTGCTTATTGTAAAGTTATAGTTTTGGAGTTTATGAAATTTGGAGAATATGAAACGCACTGTTTAACTTATTTAATATTTTAGACGTTGGAGTTTGTGAAATTTGGACATTATGAACCTCACCCCGTTACTTCAGCTAAAGTCCTCAATTTTGCTATGGATGTAAACAAAATTTTATCGGTGTCCTGTAAATCGCGCCCAGCACCTGGAGTCCAAAAAGTTCAACCATACCTAAAACATGTGAAAAATATAAAACCCTAAGTATATGAATCGATTTTATTTGCATAAACATTTTTTTGTGGTTTGCCGCAACAGGATATTTTTGTAGGAGTTTACAGATAAAACAAATAAACGGATTCTTATCTCTTTTTATTCATGCTTTGGAGTGGCTAAGAAACAAAATAAATTTTTTGAGGTTTAGGAGTGTTTAAAATTAGCTTAAAAAGCGTTGTCAATTTTTTCCATTACTTGTTAAAGTGGCATCTCCGTTAAAAAATTATATTCTCGATTATGGAGGTCACCCGATACCTCCGGTACAAATCAGAGTATATTCCTCTCACGCTCTCTTCTTCGCTTTGGTTACAGCCATCTGCGTACTTCCAGGCGCGAGCGTCGTCCAGAGGTCCACAAAATCGTTTAAAGTTATAGTACGTTGGTATCTCTCGTCTTAAGCATTCCTCGACACTGCTCCGATTGTTTTTATGAATATCGCCAAACAACAGTTCCTTCTGGATGTTTTCTTTTTATAATATACGAGTATCTTTTGTAGAGGGCACAAGGCTTACAATGCATGGCTGTTCGTGAATGTTCCATATCAGCTGTAGCACACTAACCGAACTGTAGTAAAGTTACTGCAATAATAAGGTTTGTGGAGAGAAATCTGGAGGAGGTTAGTAGGATCGAATACCTAAAGCATTATTCAGATCTCTTACTCAAGGGCAGGTGTAGCTCGAGAAGTAGACAATTTCTAGACCGGGCGCAATTTGCACACTTTCCTCAGTCGATTTCACTGGGCGCGATTTTCATACAACCATTGTATCATGGCCATCTATGTTGATGTAAACAAAATGTAAACTTGAAAAAGTTCAAATGATTGACAGCAGAATTCAGCACAAAAGTGTGGAATTTTAAAAACCCATTTAGAAGCACATCTAGAGGTTAAGAGCTACCCAACTGTCTGTTACTGATACCCAATATGTCTATAACAATAAATATTTAGGGGTCCATTTGCTGAATACAAAAACCCAACAAATTTCATTTGGCGACTTTAAAATCCATAATATATTTTAATTAATTTACAATTTTTTATTTCTCTGAGTTAGGTAGAAAATTTTCTATTTTTTACGAGATAATCATAAACTTATCACTCACTGACTTGTAATTTTTTTCAAACAAAACCTGAACATTATTTTGTAATTAGTTTTTCCAATACAATATGAAATCATGCATAAAAAGTAAGCGTGTCTAAAATATAAAACATCAAGCATCACAAAAACTATACACTTGATTCATTAGTCCAAGTTCAAAAAGAGGGGGGATTTACTGAATAATTGTCCATGGCTAAGGGCAGTTGATAAGAGTGAAAACGATTATTTCTCATCATATCTTTATTATTTGCATTGCGTATACCCTTGTCCTATTATTGTGTGCGCGATCTTTTCGAGGCATCTTAGAAAAATTACAAATACTAATGAAACATACTATGAAAACAAAAAATCTAACGTACTAAGTCATTTTCTTCTTTAGGCCTACATTTTAAACAAATAACATAACAATATTTTAATTGAATTCACTAAAACATCAATAAAACATACTATGAAAACACAAATCTTTTACAAGTAATTTTCTTCTTTACATTTTATACAAATAACATTAGGTATTACAGTATTTTTCTGGAGTTCACTAAAACTTCACCAAATGTAATGATAACCCCATTTTTGTATGGATGTAAACAAAATTGTACCATGGCCTTATGTTTTGATGTAAACAAATGTAAACTTGAAAAAGTTCAGATGATTGACAACAAAACTCAGCACAAACTCTGAAATTTAAAGGCCTATAGGTTGAGGGGTTTTCATGGGATATCAACCTGCAAAAGGCACATGTAATGTAGAGGATAGGAGCTTTTAATTTATCCTATACTCTAATACGAGCAATGTTTGCTTGTATGTATGCTTGCTTGCTTGCATGCAGAAAGATCTCGAAAACGGCTCCGACGATTTTCTTCGAATCTTGTAAATAGTTTATTTTTGGCCTAAAAACAAGCTTCATGCAGTTAGAACTCCCATCAAAAAACGAAACTGAAAGTCACATTTTTTTAACATTAGTCTTATGGGTTGCTAAGTAACCATGTTGGTTGAATTAAATAACAAGGAAAAAGTAAACAAAAGACTTGAAGTTGTAGCACGTGTTCATAATAAGCACACTACCCACAGTATACTAGCAAATTACAAATCCAGTACAAAAGGGAAATCATCACTTGCTACTATTGAGCAAAGATTATACCGAAGTTTGCTAGATACATTGTAGGCCTAGTAAAGGCAAGCAGTACGAAGTGTGGGATCTGTTTATGACGATTAGATTAAGGTTATCTGCAATTCTAAAATGCTATAGGAAGGGAAGGAAACAGGTCTGCGACGTAGGAACTGGTGAAGGAAGTAGTAAAGGAAAGTTGTCCGGAGTGTTGGATCTGTTTATGACGATTAGATTATGGTATTTGCAATCCTAAAATGCTATGGGAAGGGAGGAAAACAGGTCCACGACGTAGGAAGGGGTGAAGGAAGTAGTCAAGGCGAGTAGTCCGGAGTTTGGGAACTGTTTATGACGATTAGATAAGGATATTGGCAATAATAAAATGTTATGGGAAGGGAGGGAAACAGGTCCGCAACGTAGGAAGTGGTGAAGGAAGTAGTAAAGGCGAGTAGTCCGGAGTATGGGAACGGTTTATGACGATTAGATTAAGGTATCTGCAATCTTAAATGCCGTAGAAAGGGAGGGAAACAGGTTCGTGACGTAGGAAGTGATGTAGGAAGTAGTAAAGGCAAGCTGTCTGGAGTGTGGGAACTGTTTATGACGATAAGATTAAGGTATCTACAATCCTAAAATGCTATGGGAAGGGAGGGAAACAGGTCCGCGACGTAGGAAGTGGTGAAGGAAGTAGTCAAGTGAGCGGTCCGGAGTGTGGGAACTGTTTATGACGATTATATTAAGGTATCTACAATCCTAAAATGCTATGGGAAGGGAGGGAAACAGGTCCGCGACGTAGGAAGGGGTGAAGGAAGTAGTTAAGTGAGCGGTCCGGAGTGTGGGAACTGTTTATGACGATTAGATTAAGGTATCTACAATCCTAAAATGCTATGGGAAGGGAGGGAAACAGGTCCGCGACGTAGGAAGTGGTGAAGGAAGTAGTCAAGGCGAGCAGTCGGGAGTGTGGGAACTTTTTATGTGGATTAGATTAAAGTATCTGCAATCTTAAAATGCAATGGGAAGGGAGGGAAACAGGTCCGCGACGTAGGAAGAAGTGAAGGAAGTAGTAAAGGCGAGCAATGTGGAGTCTGGGAACTGGAAACCAATTGTAACAGTTAGATTTATGTATCTGCAATTAAAATACTGAAATGCTATGAGAAGGGATGGAAACATGTCCATGACGTAGGAAATGGTGAAGCAAGTAGTAAAGGCTGGCATCGTAAAGTGGGGGAATGATTTTCTCCGAGCAAAGCTCGGTCCCCAGGTACTAATCTTTAAAATAATAAAAAAATGACTTATAAATCTATATATATAAAATCCAATGTATGTTTGTATGTTTGTATATTTGTATGTTTGTATATTTGTATGTTTGTCCTTTATGGACTCCGAAACCGCTCGACAGATTGTAATGAAACTTTCAGGCATTATTAAGCATTATTCAAGGATGGTTTGTGTGAAGTTTGGTGCAGATCCGTCAAAAGGGCTCCGCCCCAGTGGCTCTGGGGTTTCCCATGTTAACCTTATGAGTACTCATATTTAAATGTAATTAAAGAATCTTAACAGCTGGTTCAACTAAACTATCTGATTCTGTGATGTTCAATAGCATTAAAAAGTTAATAGGTTTACCAACAGGGTGCAGCACTATATTTTTTTTTTTAATTTATGATAACAGCTAACTTGCAACCAAAAGGTGAGTGAGCGTAGCGAACGAACTTCAACCTGGAGGCGAGTTAGCGTAGCGAACGAGCTAATCTGAAGGCAAGTGAGCGCAGCGAACGAGCTCCAACCTAAAGGTGAGTGAGCGTAGCGAACGAACTTCAACAGCTAATTAGCAACCTAATGGTGAGTGAGCGTAGCGAACGAACTTTAACCAGGACATGATTGAGCCATGCGAACGAACTCATCTTGAAAATGAACGAGCATTTGACATAAATCCACACTAGGACAGGACGACGTCTGTCGGGCCAGCTAGTTAAGTAATAAAATAGTTTTCTTTATTGTCCTAGTAGGATTTTTAGCGCTAAGAAACACAGTAGCAATTAGTTTCTAGCTGTACAGTAGTACTGATTGATCTATTGTTGTTGCACAGGAGGATGTAGACCTAGCAGTGAAGGCAGCCCAGGCAGCATTCCATCACAAGAGTGCCTGGAGAACCTCCGATCCATCAGCACGAGCCCGTCTTCTCCACAAGGTAAGACTAATGAATGATTCCGAGTAGGAGTATACTAATGGATGGTTGTTCAGAAGGGAAAATATTATTTAAAGAAAGTAAAGTTAATGTAAGAGAAAATGAAATATAATGAGAAAGGGTAATGGTAAATTGTTCGAAGGACCCGAGGGGTAAAATGTAGAGAAATGGAGAAATATTGAGATGGAGAATATGAGAGAAAGAAGAAATGAACACACTTATTGGGTTACAAGAGAAAGACACACTTTTATTAACATTTATGAAATACAACATTATATACAATAGAAAATAATTTAATTTTATTAAGAACATATGTTGGAAGGCAAAAACATTCAAGTAGTCAATTAAACCCATACATAAAATAAAATTGAAGGTTACTGAACAAACCAGGGGCCTTGAATCCCCAGTGGATTCAACAAAAAGCAGTTCACAAATCCACAATTGGTAGAGAGAACACCTTGTGGGCAGGTCTTGTGAGCATAGAGCATACCACTAGAAGTTATATTCTCTCAAGTGAAGAGAATCACTGAATCTTTTGTTAGGAGTCTTAAGAGTACAGAGAGGTGTCAACAATCCTGGGAAGTATAGAATTTCAGCTGTTGAGAGTAGATAGACGGATGGAGTGTTGGCAGGCTGAGAAGAGGCAGATCTGGTTTCATGTGAGCAAAGAGATACAGGAGGCGTTTATACATGAGTGGATGAAGGTCGAGTTAGGTAGAATCTTGAGGCCTCTTGACGTGTTCACAGTGGAGACGGGTGTGATGACGCTTGTGACATTTAAAGCAATAAGCTTTTGACTTACATGCTTTAAAACCATGTTTCCTGAGGCTCAAGACACTTATCTTTTACAATTTTCAAATGTTTTTTTGAAGAGAGGGAATGAAAGATGACAACTACAAATCTTTTTTATCTAGTTTTACACTTTCACTGAATGAATTTTATCCTGTGAAATTAATTAAAGAAAAAATAAACCAACGTAAGGAGAATTGGATTACTCGGGGTATAATGATTTCTTCAGAGACTAAAAGAAGATTACACCAATTGGCCAAAACATGTAGACAAGAATCATTTTTGAACTATGTTAAGAACTATAAAATAATTTTCAAAAAGGTAGGTTTTCAGGCTAAGAGATCGCACAATAGTAATTTTATTGTTAAATCTTGTAACAAGAGTAAAGCTATGTGGGGAGTGTTGTGAAAAAAAACTGGGCATTAAAGTAAAAACGGAGACTACTAGTGAAATTGATGTTGGGGATAGGGTGATAAATAAACCCAAAGAAATTGCAGAATATCTTGATGTTCAATTTTCCAACATAAAGGAAATATTAAATGTGCCAAATGTCTCTTTCATCACTAATAATTCAGTTAAATTGTGTTTTTACCAGGAAAGTTTTGGGGTAGTATTGATTTTTCCATTTCTTATGTATTTCGGGGTGCTGAATCCGAATCTGAGGTTTGCCAACAAAAATTCTTGACGCAACATTGACAAAAATGAGAAAAATATGGAAAAAATGATATTTTTTTGTAATATTTGGCTTATAACTCTGAAACTATCAACTTTCCGTTATTAGACTATATTATAAAAATTAAAGTACACAAAATTTGCTACAAAATTTACCCCTAATGTGGTAATCTCCGATGAACCGTTTAGGCTCCAGAGCTATTTGAAAATTGGAACATTTTGTGTTAGTTTTTAAATTTCTCCAATTATTCTGTCAATGACATATATTAATTGTATATGCCCAGGCAAAGGTCTTATATAAATCCAAAGTGTTAAAATTGATTGATTTTGTGTTACTGAACCGTTGATTTTTTATTTAGTGTAGAGAAAAGTTACACAAACTGTTGCCGTATAAATTATCCTCGCTCAGAGGGTTGTAATGAGGCAGGTTCTAGCAAACGTTTCAATGCATTATTTGTGAGCATTCTAGCTTGTTCATCTGGACATTTAAAAAAAGTTTAAAAGTAAAAAAAAAACTATCAAAATTAAAATAACAGCAATCTGTTTATCATGTTATATTGTATGCACCTAATGACGTGATATTAAGATTTACGTAAATAATAATAATGTTATGTAAGCATATACTGTTACTAAGCATTTATATTGTGTGTAGATTTAACAAGTTAATAAATAAAGGAATGTGCGTTTGGTACCATACTTACTTTCTTACTTACTTAGACTCTAGCATCACAGCCCATTGTACATCCTCAATCGTATTGGCACTCGTTATACAATTTTCTGTGTAAAATTTCAAGACCGATGCATGCATGGCTTAGAGTGATTGGCACTGTTACCATAGGCCAATACAAATTTGTTCACCCCCTATCATTCACCCGAATGTAAATGTAAACTCTAAGCGAGTTATATCTACGCAGCTGCTTAAGTTGGGGGCAGTGAGACAATGTTGGATTTAGTTTTCTAGCCAAAATTCGTATTGACTATCTTAAGTCAATTAACCCTTACCACGCTCATGTAGGCCTATGCCCTACGCCCTAGGACCTACAACCTACAAAATCTACACACAATGTAAATGCTTAGCAACAGTATATGCCTAGATAACATTTTATTATTAACGTATATCTTAATATCACGTCATCAGGTGCATACGATATTCCATGATAAACAGATTGCTATTATTTTAATTTTGATAGTTTTGATTATTGTATTACTTTTTATTATGTGTAATTTTTTTTACTTTTAACCTTTTTTTATATGTGCAGATGAACAAGCTAGAATGCTCACAAATAATGCATCGAAATTTTTGCTAGAACCTGCCTCATTACAACCCTCTAAACGAGGATAATTTAAACAGCAACAGTTTGTGTAACTTTCCTGTATACTAAATAAAAAACCAACGGTTCGGTAACACAAAATTAATCAATTTTAACACTTTGGATTTATATAAGACCTTTGCCTGGGCATATACAATTAATATATGTCATTGACAGAATAATTGGAGAAATTTAAAAACTAACACAAAATGTTCCAATTTTCAAATAGATCTGGAGCCTAAACGGTTCATCGGAGATTACCACATTAGGGGTAAATCTTGTAGCAAATTTTGTGTACTTTAATTTTTATAATATAGTCTAATAACGGAAAGTTGATAGTTTCAGAGTTATAAGCCAAATATTACAAAAAATATCATTTTTTCCATATTTTTCTCATTTTTGTCAATGTTGCGTCAGGAATTTTTGTTGGCAAACCTCAGATTCGTATTCAGCACCCCGAAATACAAAAGAAATGGAAAAAATCAAAACTACCCCAAAACTTTCTCGCTATGAGTAAATTTAAATACAAATTTACTGGATTACACTAAATTATTGAAATGGACTGCTGACATTATTTCTGATATTATAGCTAAACTCATCAATCAATCATTTAGTGAGGGCGAATTTCCAGACTTGCTAAAATTGTCTGAAATCAGACCAATTTTAAAAAAAGGCACACATAATAATATTCAAAATTATAGACCAATTTCTTTACTCAGTAATGTATCAAAAATTTTTGAAAAAATTATTCATCTTAGAATTGCAAATTACCTGGAATGTAACTCAAAACTGTGTCAAGAGTAGTTTGGTTTTAGAAGAAATCTAAGCACACATAATGCTCTTTTTACTTTTATTAGTAGTGTCCTTGAAGCTCTGGATCGGTCACAGTTGACTGCAGGAGTTTTCTGTGACTTGTCCAGGGATTTTGACTGTGTGGACCACAGGTTGCTGCTGATCAAATTGAAGAATATTGGCTTGGAGGGAATGGCTCTAGAATTATTACGATCATACCTATTCAATCGAAAGCAGCGCACAATAGTAGTAAAAAAATCAATAAAATATTATTCTAACTGGGCCAGCGTTACATGGTGTTCCGCAAGGTTCCATACTTGGGCCTTTATTATTTATTATATTTATTAATGACTTGCCTTTCCACAAATTCCTGTGCTTTCACATTGTATGCCGATGACACAACTGCTCTTTTAAAAAGAAAAACACTAAGTGAACTTAAATTAACTTTTGACAGCACAATGAAAAAAATCAATGAGTGGTTTGAGAGCCATGGTCTGAAATTAAATGAATGTAAAACTAATATTCTTCAATTTAAACTCAGAAACAGAGTTACAGACACCACATTCAGTAATACAAAAATTGTTAAGTTTTTAGGTCTAAATTTAGACTCAAAATTAAGTTGGTCCGACGACATTCATCATCTAAATAAAAAATTAAGGTCAACAAGGTATTCACTGAGTGTTCTATCCAAGGTCAGGCCTCTAGAAATCTGCTTGACAGTATATCATGCATATGTTCATTCTTTGTTGGCTTATGGCTTCACTCTATGGGATAACTCTGCAGACGCCAAGAAAGTGTTCACTTGCCAAAAGTCCATTCTCAGAACTATTTTTCACCAGAAGTCTAAAAAAGCTGTAAACCTTTTTTAAAAAACATTCCATTTTAACATTACCATCTCTTTATATATTTGAAATAGCAAAGTATGTTCATGCAAATCCTTTCTTTTATAAAAAATATAAAATAAATCATAACTATCAAAAAACGAGTAATAACAAAACTTTTCAATATCCCAAACATTCGCACACAAAATTTGAAACCGGGCCTCTTTAGATGGTATTAAAAATCTACAATCATTTACCTAATTCATACAGAACTTTATCAAAATCAAATTTTACTTATAAGTTGAAAGAGACTTTGAGCCAGAAAGCGTATTACAAAATTCAGACGTTTTTTAAAGATAAATTTGAATAGTGTTTACTCTTGTTAGGGTATAATTAGATTAAGGAACCTAGATATAAATTGACCATGTACCAGCTTGGGAATTACTTTTGTAATTATTGTATCAGGCGTCATGTACAATAAAGCTTTGTCTATTGTTTTGTCTATTGTCTATTGTAAAGACAGAGGGACAGGGCAAAAATAAATCCTGCGAATTGTGGATGAGAAAACAAAGCAGGGGAAAGAGAACACATTTTTTGAGCTTGTGTTGACTTGATAGAGTTGGGGTAGAGATCATTTAAACTTGCTGTGCTTGAGAGGAAGAGGGATTAGGAGAAATAGGTTTCTGTTCAAATGTTGATGTATGGTTGTCATTAATTGCAGCAGACCTAGTATGTAACTGAGCGTCTTCAATTTGGTTACGTTCTTGATTTAAGAACTTGATTATTTAAACTACTTCAGGTAGAGAATGTGTTTCACAATTTTGATTGTTTCTAAAAATCTCTAGTTGTTTGAGAAGGTCGCTATCTAGTTTGGGTAAAAGTATGGTGGACAAATGAGGATTTAGAGTTTGAAGTGATTTCACAGTCAAGAGAATTTAGTGTTTCTGTATGTTCATAGAAAAAAATTTAGGAAGGTTCTGAGACATTTGTTTGAAGCAAAATTGTTTGAAGCAAAAGAAATTTTTGGCCAACCTATTAGTTTGTTGAGATGAAGTGAGGATGTCGTTAGCCTTTGAGGGTTGTAATATCTGTCTCTGAAGAGCTGATAGGCAATTGTGTGATTGGTTGATGTTATATTATAAGATTTGATGAGATTTAGAGGTTCATCTTTGAGTACACTGAGAAGGTATTGGAAATTAGAGACGTTAGACATGTTTTCATTCAGATGGATGCTTGTGTCAAATGAATTGATGAAACTTACCAAATGTAGAGGAGAACCATCAAATGTAATCAGGTCTAGTTTTGGAAGTCTTACGTGGATAGAAGATGAAGCTGAGATGTCACTAATTTGTCCTGGGTTGTTGTTTATTCCTGGAACATCCTGCGGCTGCTGTTGGAGAAGAGCTTCAATGCGAGATTTTGCCTTTCAGTGTCACTCATTCACTAAGTCCAAATCCAAGTCTTCTGAGATATGTTCAAACGCTCTTTTCAGGATCTCTTCTTGTTTAACTGTGTCAAGAGGTTGGTTAAGGTCCTGATTTGTGACAGAGAGAGAAGGGAGGGGGAAAGGCTTTCTAGCTCTTGGACCGATTTCAGGATTTTTCCAAAGAATTTGAACGGGTGATGTTTTTGGCCTCTGGAGACCTCAAAACGAAAAAGAAAATCGGTCTCGGGTCCAGGTCTTACCAAGAGACTTACGGTAACAGCTTATTCCCCATATGGGAAATTCGCTAAAAACAAAATGTTCACTGTGTTTTAAGTGAAAAGTATTTTCTCTTTTTGATGGGAAATATCCGCAATAATTAAAAGAAATTACATTAACTTACCATCAACAAAAATTAGCGTTAAAGAAAGAACTGTCAAATGATTGTGTTTCTCTATGAGGCCTCTAACACATCTAATTTGCTCTGCTTTTTGTTTATTTCTACTTCAAGATTCTACAGTAACTATAAACATATTTTGCATTGTGTTCATCTACAGTAATAATTTCAAAAATATAGTTTTTCTTGTTGATGCCTCTAACTAATTTTCTCTTCGGTAATTTTTTTATTTTAACTTAAAGAACATAAGAATAAGAAATATTTATTTCCATTGATCTTTATAAAATAAATAGGACACATAATTTGTTATACATACTTACAAGGTGATTCAGTGTTTACAGTACAATATCTAAACTTAAATTTCATTGTGGTGTGAGTAGCCTCCGGATTGCGAATAATGAGTGAAGACAATAATCGGATTGCAATAATAAGGTATTTAACCCACTATCATAGTAAACTTAAATAGCCACTTACATGAAAATAAAAGCTTTATTTCAACTTACTCTTCAAAATCTAATATTTATTTCACAACTTAAAAAATCATCAATTTTGTAAAAGGGATTTTTAACAATCCAGTCATACAGTTTAATTTTACAAATACTTTAAGAAACTAATTTTGCTTCTTCAGGCAGCTTATTAAAAAACATGATACAATTTAATTTATGTGAATGTTTGGTTTTTGCCAATCTGTGCTGCAAAATATCTATTTTATCCCTACCTCTTGTATAGTGATTGTGTAGGTCTTTTCGGAAAGAGAATTGATCAAAGTTTGACTTTGTATATATTAGAATTTGGAATATACATACAGTAACTGTAAACGTATTTTGCATTGTGTTCTACAGTAATGTTAACAATGTTGTTAAAATCATAGAGTTTGAATAAATGGTGATAACTTATTAATTACCATTTTTATCCTTTCAGCCCTATTCCTCTGGTAGCAGCACATACTCCAGTAAGCTATCTGTGTTAGGTACAGATTTACAGCAAGTCAGTTTGACCCAAAACGCTGATTTATTAATTAATTGCCCTTTTTAAACAGCTTTGATGAATATAAGCAACTATGAGATCCAGGAACAAGTGGCATATTCTTTTTGACAGTCCAGTTACCACATCTAGAAATATAAGCGCTGGTACTAAGCCATCAAAACGCCCTAGGTACCTACTCCAAATTGCTGTTGTATTATTTAGTTTTACTGCAAAGTGAGTAACAGCAATGTCCAGAAAGACTCTTTATTCTGTGTCCCCATTTTTCTTAAAAAATAAAATAGATTCATTTGTGTTCCCCAGCTCTCTGGGTTGATGGAGAGGGATGCAGATCATATTGCTAGTCTACTCACTTTGGAGAACGGAAAACCTTTTAAAAATGCAATCTGGGAGGTGAACAACGCTATCAAGACCTTACAGTACTATGCTGGCTGGTGTGACAAGATTTATGGCAAAACTATCCCAGTTGGTAAGACATTTGAAGTTATTTAAAATCCCCTAGACCTAAGAGACTCATAGTGCACTTATTTGTGCCCCCGATTATATTTCGGGGTGAACGTGGGGTTTTGACCATCAAAACATAAACCTTTGCTATTTCTTTCTTAATAATTTTGAGGGCTCAAAAACAAATATATTATTATATTGAAGCATTTTTGTACACAAATTGTTACGGTATAGAGAAAAGTTCAATAAACTGAAAATTTAAATTTGTATGTTATTCTTGGAGAATAAGTAAACTGTTGTTTTTTGCTTGTTTATAGATATATTTTGATAAAACTTGGCAAATGTATATATTTGATACTAATCTATTAACACTTCAAAAAATAAAACACTTTATTGCCATTCCTTTAGAATCAAACCCACACACTCAATAATAAACTTAATGTCACTTAAATAGGGAATAAACAGATAATTGAGCGGAGCGAGCGAAGCTCTTTGGGATCAACTTCAATGCAAACAATATAACACCATCACTCAATAACGGCTGAACACATTTCAGCCAAACTTAACAAGACTACTTAGACTAATAATGAGATGGTTTGTAAACAAACAAATTTCAATTAGATAATGCTAATGCAATTTAAAACGAACTTAAAATTTCAAATTTTTAACATTAGGCTTATGGGACTAAAGTAGCTATGACAGTTTTTTTGTTTACAAGAAAAATGTAAACAAGAGAATCATAAGGTATTTCTGAACTTTCTATACTTTTCTTTTAAACGTTTTTAAACCATTCCTATAATTTTAATAAACAAGAAAATGCCGTTAAAACATTTTTTAAGGCGCGGAATTCACTGAAAATCAAAAAATTATACGGAACTACTTTCTCAATGCGCGGAGCATAAACAAGGAGCGGAGGGATACGGACCGGTGACTACTTTCTTGGGAACCTATTTGTGTTGCCAGCTGATTAGAAACAGCCAATGTTAGAAATCAGGATTTAATAAGCGATATATCGAACCGCATCGAAATCGGTATTTAATCCGATAATACCTCATAGGTTATATTAAGTTGAATTACATCGACGGTACAGTAAGTTATTACACTTATTGATAAAACGCAGATTGAAAACTGATCTAATTTAGGCAGGTGGGGAGGTAGGTCGGGGTTTATGAGTATTCGTGACTACATTAAGTGTTTTGAAGTAAGGTTAGATTAGGAAGGTAAAGTGTAGGTTATAGGTAGGTGATCGGGTTGTTTATTTGTGTTGCACCATATAATTTTTATCTTTTGGAATGGAATAGTTGGTTAAGGTTAAACGGGGAAACGATTTCAAAAATGCTTGCATATGGTCTTAACTTAACAAACCATCTACAGTATTCTAGCTTTGACTTTATATAAAGTCAATGATTCTAGCAAATTATTACATACTGACCAAAAGAAAAGAGAACATTTGGTTTTGGATCTTTGACCATAGCAAAACTAACATATGGAATGTGAAAAGTTGTATATCATTATATACTATTCTGTAATATTAATAATTGTTCGGCAAATCCTCATTTTAATGGCTCGGCTGAAAATGGAATCTGCATTTTGTGAAACAGTTATTTGGTAACAATTCAGTCATTTCAAATGTTGATAAAATTTCCTTTCTCTTTTTCATACTTTAATGCCCTTTTTGGATGTTAATATCAGATTCCAACTACTGTAATATTTTCCTGGTCAAAACTACCTTACACTTCTCGAAGAGGTAAATTTGAATTATTATAATTTTAATCTTTAAAACCAGCATTAGTAAATAAATCTATTGACCTTTTTGCATTTAGTTACTTATACAAATATCAAATCACGTTTGTTCCGCTCAACTGGCTTTCACCTCTCTGAAAGCAAACCTAGTTTATAAAGGAAAATCCAACCAGGGAAATGGAAATTAGTTAAGCCTGCATATTTACTGCGGCGGGGTATTTTATTTTTTATGACTGAACTAGTAGACAGCAGCATGGCTATAGGTCTCGCCACCCTAAGTTGAGGCAGCCCAGACAGGCAAAGTGACTGTATTAGCCATATTATTTCAGCTAGAGAAGGGAAAATGCTTTACTCACTAAAAACATTCTAGCCAAGTTGCACTATAGGTCTCGCCACCCTAAGTTGAGGCAGCCCAGACGGACGGGCAGGGTCATTATCGGCCGGTCCCACCCGACCCTTAATAATCCGATCAAAATCGGACAATGTTTACGGTTTGTGAGCTATAAACAAAAAACAAAGTAGTGTAGATCCCAAAATCCAAAAACCGTAAACATTGTCCAATTTTGATGGGACAAAAACGGAAATGTTTGTTAAATCGACGTTATTAATGTAAAAGACTAAATTTATACATCGGTTTTTAACTTTGTTAATGAAAATTATGGAACTAGAGCGTTCATGGAAGTGTCACTAATCGGATTATAAAGGGTCGGGCGGGACCGGCCGATAATGACCCTGCCCGTCCGTCTGGGCTGCCTCAACTTAGGGTGGCGAGACCTATAGTGCAACTTGGCTAGAATGTTTTTAATGAGTAAAGCATTTTCCCTTCTCTACCTGAAATAATATGGCTAATACAGTAACAATATTGTAAAATAGAAAATAATCTTACAATATAGAAAATACTCAACACTACTGTTTATTTATTTTTTTATCCAAAATATAACCCAGTACCGGTAATATAATGCTTAATAACTACTTTCCTAGACATAGAAATATAGAGATGAGCCAGTGCCATGAGACCTAACATGCTAGTGTGAATTAATTGGATTAGTTTTTGCTTTGTAGATGGTCCATTCTTCACAATGACCCTGAGAGAGCCTGTGGGAGTGGTGGGACAGATCCTACCCTGGAATTTTCCGATAGCCTTGTTGGCAGCCAAGTGGGGCCCTGCTCTAGCTGCTGGTTGCACCACAGTGCTCAAACCTGCAGAGCAAACCCCTCTGACCATACTGTACATCACAGCTCTTACTAAAGAGGTACATTCTTTACATCACAATTAAAATTATCCGTTGAACACATTTGAACCTACGCTATGCAACTCTGGGAAACACATTTGTATTCCAACATAGTAATAATTCAAAAATTTCAATCAAAAATACTGAGAGACATTTTACAAGCACTAGGGTATGTGCATAATAATGTGCAGGGAATTAGGTAAAACTTACTGATTATTCATCAAGACGTAAAAATACACATCCACACACACACACACAGACATGACTTCAAAAACAAATTTTTTGGGTTAACGGATATATCTACTCAAAACTCAACCTCAAAATTTTTTACGATACAATACTTTCTCCATATATTAAGTATAGGGGTAGAAAGCAAAAATGTGAAATAAAATTTGAAAAAATTCAAACTTCCTGGTAATTTCAAAATAATCAATTCAAAGTCAGAATTATTATCGGGCAAAATATACAAACCTACATAAATGAAGATGATCAATTTATTTTTTAACTAACACTATAAAATAATGCATATTGCAGGCTGGATTTCCTCCTGGAGTTATCAATGTAGTGAATGGGTTTGGACCAACAGCAGGAGCTGCCATCACAAGCCATCGATCCATTGCCAAAGTTGCTTTTGTAGGCTCCACTGAGGTAATAAAGTACTCAATAAAAATAATACCATAAAACAGTTTTTAGAAGTACTTGTACCTGATATAAAACTTTTATTCACAAATTTTTTTATAGCCTTTTAGCAAATTTCCCATAATAGGGACTGAGCTATTTGAAATATAAGCACAGAATACATACCCAATCCAGAACTTTCGTTGAACCAATTAAAACTTTGCATTTCAATCTCTGTGTTTAAAAAACGTACCACTGTTTTTGCTGGTTAATTTTGTTTCAGAGTTTCGTGTTGTTAGGTTGGCCGTGTGATCGGTTGGTGGGACTTGTCAAATTAGAGGCAAGATCAAGATGGCATCATCCTGTTGACACTGTTGTTTTGTTGATAGTAAACAAAAATATGTCAACAATATGATTGCAATATAAGTTTATTTATTTATTTTAAGAGAAACCCATTTTAACAAGATCATAAACGGAAAGTAAATAAAAGAAACGTCTTATAACACTTAAAACATATATTTACGCTTATACTGTTACTCACAAGACGGTAAATATACAAAAAAGATGGTAAGTGGTGATCGATTTCGATTAGACACTCCAATCATCATCAGACCCAATAGGTGAATGACAAGAATCTTAATGGCGTCCCTACTTATACCCTATTGGCTACCGGAAGCACCGGCCAGTACATTTTTATAAGTACAACTGGAATCAAAATGTATTTGTTCATTAATCAACTTATTTCTATTTTTACATTTTCCCTTATAAATATACAATTCTTCCCAAGCATTCATTACGTATCCTTTCTTACAATTCTTTAAAATATCTAGACTATCCTCCATTTTTCCTAGTGAGTGGCCATTTTGTAACAGGTGTTGTGCGACATTTGATCTTTCCGGTTTGTTGTTCCTCCACGCAGATATGTGGTTTTTGAAGCGGTTAACGAAGTTCACAGTCTGTCCAATGTAGAAGCTATCACAACCGTTACAATTGATTTTATAGATGCCCGAAGCGTCGAATTTGTTGAAATCTTCTATTTTCGGATGCAGTATTTTACTCATGGTGTTCTGAGTACTGTAGGCTATTGAAACTCCGTATTTCTTGAATTTGTTAGCAGTCCTTTGTGTTGTAGTCCCCGTGTAGCTAAATGTGATATATCTGGTGTTTTCCTCTTTTATTTCCTTTAATGTTGTTCTGCTGTGTAGTGTATGCCCATCGATTTTCCTCCTCATCTTCCTTGCGTATGAAGGTAATGAAGGTTATGATACGTAATGAATGCTTGGGAAGAATTGTATACGTATAAGGAAAAATCTAAAAATATAAATAAGTTGATTAATGAACAAATACATTTTGATTCCAGTTGTAATAATAAAAATGTACTGGCCGGTGCTTCCGGTAGCCAATAGGGTATAAGTAGGGACGCCGATTCTTGTCATTCGCCTATTGGGTCTGATGATGATTGGAGTGTCCAATCGAAATCGATCACCACTTACCATCTTTTTTGTATATTTACCGTCTTGTGAGTAACAGTATAAGCGTATATATATGTTTTAAGTGTTATAAGACGTTTCTTTTATTTACTTTCCGTAAATTTAATAACACGTACAATGCTGATCAAGAAGTTATTTAAGATCATAAACCAATGGTAGTTCTTTAATCAAATGCCATAGGGCTAAATAAACCAAAGACTAAACCAATATCTCCAAACCAGGAAACTTGACTATTTTCACCATATTAATCATAGCTTGAAAGGAGGTAAAAAATGTAGTATTTATTTACTATCAACAACAACTTATAATGTTTTAAAATAACTTTAAATACACCGGTTTTAACTTGCAATAACTTAAAGAAGTTTTTTATATAAGTCCTTGAAATATCGGATAACCCCAAATAAATAGTATGGTTAGGTTAGAATTAATTAGAATTTGACAGCATCCCACCAACCGCTCACATGGCCAACCTAACAACACGAAACACCGAAAACAAACCAGCAAAAACAGTGGCACGTTTTTCTCTGATTTTTAACCAGAGAGTATTGACTCCAGTTATAATCTACTTATCTCAATGAATGGCAAATACTAGCAGATTCTCAAACACAGGATTTTTATTGGCTCAGGGAAGTTCTAGGTAGGGTCTTTATTCTGTGATATAAGACTTTGAAAAAATATGTAAGTTCTTTTACTTGGTGAATAATGCTAAATAAATAACTTAAATTTCATTTTAAAACAAGATTATAACACGAGAGAGACTGACGTATCTCATAAAGGCAGATCCGGAGGTAAAATGTCCCCTCCCTCACAAGAAATATTCGGGGGTATATTAAACTATTATTTTTGGCAGCTTCAAATATAAATAATTTAAAAGTGCTTTAGGAATGCCTCCAAACCTTGTGTTTATAGTGCCTATATTTTTTAAACTTTTTTGGGGGAGAAGCCACGGAAGATTTTATTACCCAGACCCTCTTCAATCAATCTTTGTATCACCCTTGCAAATATCCTGGATCAGCTCCTATAACTCACTCACTAGTATAATTTCATATCATTAGTACCATCTGCATTTAGTGTTTAGCAATTAAATTAATCGTTGCTCACTAGTCTACTGATAATAATGAGTGATACTTTTTTACTAATAATAATGATAAATACTTTAATAATTTATTTAAAATTAAATTATTTATTAATGACACTATGGTTTTATTAAAGTAACTGTGTTAAAAGTTATAGTTTTAGTTCCATATTAAAGTTCCATTGTCATATGTACTCTTGTTCAGTAAAGAAACTAAAATATGAGTTTCACGTTAATTTGTACATACTGTATAGTGGTTAGATCGTAATGGTGGCTTAATGATAGTAAATTATTACCTTTGAAATATTATATCGCAGCAGCTTAATATTTTGATACTTATATTCCAAATTGGTTAGATTTTAGCAAATTTCCAATATAGGGAATAAGCTATTACCGTAGTACTCATGGTAAGACCTGGACCTGGGACCGATTTTTTTTTCGTTTTGAGGTCCCTAGAGGCCAAAAACACCATCCCTTCAAATTCATATATATACATATTTATATTTATATATATATATATATATAACACATATTATACATATATATACATATTTATATATCTATATTATTATATAAAAATCTAATGGTGTCTGTCTGTATGTGTGTTACTATAATAGGTGCAAAAACTACTGAACCAACTTGGTTAAAAGTTTACAAAAATATAGTTACCATACCAAGGACCATTATAGGACTATTCAAATTTCGATACTGGCCGTAGGCTTTGCCCCTTTGGCTTTAAAAGTTCTGAGGCGAAGATTTTAAAAGTAAATATTGATTGGTCTCCATGGCTGCGATGAGAACACTAACAATGTTTGTTTACATTTGCTTTGACATTTAAATGTAAACAAGAAGAACTGCTAAACTGCATATTTCACAATTTCAGACAGCTGATACAAAGAAATTAAATATAATATCTTCCATAACTATGATGTAGGTTTATTTTAATCTAACCTTTTATCATGGATTATTTATTCTAAAACTATGTCAATGATTATATAAAAAAATATTCTATAACCGTTGCTGTATCAACTCCCCGTATCAACTCCGGCTCTGCTTTGGATTTTTTTAAAGCGTCTAAGCTATGAAAATAATGCTATTGATATGATTTCATGGAAACAGTATGAACAATAAAATGTAAAGATGTTTTATATGAATTTGGAGGCTACTTTAAATAAATTCTAACTGCTTAACATGTGTTAGATTACTTAACATAACTTGCACATCACATTGTTTTTTATATGTATATTTAGGTAAATTAAGTTATTGTGTTTTGCTAAACCTCTTCTTAAGTTAAACTAAAGAATATAATCAATAACTAAATTGTAAGTCGTTGATTTTTTTTTTTATCTGTTGTATATGTGTAACTATAATTATAATCATCAAATGGTAATACGAAATACTCTTATTTTATCTTAACATAGCTTTCAGTTCACATTTTCACATTTACTTTATTTGATAAATTTATTATTTGTGTTTTGCTACACCACTGACTAAATTAAACCAAGGAAAATATCATAAAACTAAGCAGTAGCCTACACAGTGTTCTTTTGTTTCTAAAATCAATGAAATATCTGTTACTATGTTTACTATGGTAAGTGTGAAAATGTAAAGGCAATGGACGATGGAACTGGTTTGTATATTATAGTTCGGCCGCTTAGAAAACGACCTGCGCGCTAATGCTAAACCAATGCTAGAGGAGGTCGCTTTCTAAGCGGCCGAACTATAAGTTGATATTTTTGTAGAGTAGAATCAGAGATGCAATGAAACATATACTGTATTTGCTGTTAAATTTTTTAGTCCTTGATGCTTTGATAATCATATTAGTTTTGTCTGCTGTCTTTAATGCTAAATTATTATTATTATTTTTTTTTTTTTTTTTGTACCTATAGATATAGTTTCTTTAATATTTCAAGAGAATGTATTGATAAGGCACAGCAATATTTCTGAAGTTTATAACAGCTTACAGTACTTTTTTGCTAATGATTTATTGTGAGTGAAGAAACTGGAGATGGAAGGATTTGTGATTTAAGAAGAGTGAAATAAAAAAAAATGTTAATTTAAATTGAATAATTAGTAGAAACTTCAAAATTGAAATTTAAAATGTCAATACAGTAATAAATAAAAAGATATGTAATTAAGGGAGATGAAATGGTGGTATCCACTACTTACCAGATTTAAAACTCATAACTTAAACGTTTCTATTAAGGCTAGAAAAGTTGAATTTTGTTTCTAAAAGCGTTGGCGAATGTGTAACTATTATAAGCAAAAGAAGTAAAGATTAAAATGTTTCTATGTTGTGTCCTCTTCCCGTTGCAAAGCACGGGTACAACAGCTAGTATATATATATTTATATGTTGAGCAATTATGTTTTGATAGTTCTGTTCACTTTTTAGGGCTACTTTTTAAACATTAATAAACTTAGTACCCAAGTAAAATTATTTATTAAAATATTTACTGACTATAGTTTCAGCTCTAAGGCCATTTTCAAAGTACACAAAAATCAAAATAAAATATGTAAATAAGTAAATAACATATGATATCATACAACTTTTCTAACTTGTAACATAATTTTGTCTTCATTGATTAATTTATATACTATATGATGTGTTGTACTTATTTTCATTAATATTTTCTCAATTTTGCTATTGTTTCATATATTGGATTATTTAATTTTGGAATCATTGTATTTAAAATATTTCATTTGTCATTTTTGTAGTTCATACCCTATAAATATTAATTTCTTCTTTTACATTCAATTTTTCTCTGTCTTTTTCAATTTCTAATATTGTTAAGTTTTCTTCAATATTAGTAAACTTATGTTTGGATTTTAGTAAATGATCTGCAAAATTTGATTTCATTGATGTTTTGTTCTTCGATTTATATGCCTGTATATGTTCGTTGAATCTAACTTTGAAATTTAGAAATACAGCCCCATTGCAATATTTGACGATGTTGATGGTATGTGCCATTTCTCAAGCATTATTAATACGTTTTTGTATTCAAACCATATATTTAAAAAATATATAAAGTCAGAAAAGTCTTATAATATCATAATTATGTTATTTATTTATTTACATATTTTATTTTGATTTGTGTTTACTTTGAAAATTGCCTTAGAGCCAAAACTATAGTCAGTAGATATTTTAATAAATAATTTTACTTGGGTACTAAGTTTATTAATGATTAATCTTTATTTATACATAGTAGCCCTATTATTTTATTTTTCATATATATACATATGTGTGTGTGTGTGTCCGTTAGCGCGATAACTCGAGCAAAAATGATCCGATTTTGATGAAATTTGGTACAAACGTGTAAACCTACGTTTATTCGAACGAGTTTGCGATCAAGCATGATCGGACCATGGGAACGGGGGTTTATGGGGGTATACCCATTTTTGATCCAAAAAACATAAAATTTTGCAATTTCTTTCCAAACTATTTTATAGAGCTTAAAAAAAAAATTAGTATATTGAAGTGTTATAATGCGCCTAATGGTTACGGAGAAAATTCCAAAAAATTGTAAATTTAAAATTCCCATGTTATTCTTATGGAGAATAAGTAAACTGTTGTAGTTTACTTGTTTATTAACATATTTTGCCCAAATTTGGAAAATGTTTTTATTTCTTACTATTAACATTTTACAAAAAAAACAAAACACTTTTACCCTCCCTGTTGCAGCAAACCTAAGTACGTGTTAAACTGATTCTATTTAAATAGGGAATAAATGTGATATTTTTAAGGAGACATTTTAGAGTAAATCCAATCAGTTAAATGGAAATTCGCTTAGTCTGCAGGTTGGCTGCGGCGGGGGTATTATTATAACTGAAGTCTTTCTCGCAGGTTGGAAGAATAATCATGGAATCAGCTGCTAAGTCTAATTTGAAAAGGGTTGGCTTGGAACTGGGTGGAAAGAGCCCCATTGCAATATTTGACGATGTTGATGGTATGTGCCATTTCTCAAGCATTATTAATACGTTTTTGTATTCAAACCATATATTAAAAAAATATATAGGCCTATTAGATAAATACACAGCAGAATATAAGGAATCCTATTCTGAAATTAAATTAAATCCTTTGTTTAATGTACAATCTAGACAGTATAGTTAAATTTAACAAAAATTAAGATTTCTTTATCTTAGGATAATATTTAGCTTAGTTGTGTAAGCATTGGAACTTGGATACATCTGAAGTAGTTGTTAATCCCAGTGTTGCTAGTATGTTATCAATCAATGACCTTTTATGCTAGAAACAAAAACACATATCTTATTAGGTCCCTGAATATATGGTTTGACCTAGAAATAATTAGAACACAAATGAAACCATTGTAGTTTGATAGTGAAAAGTATTTTGAATAACATATCAAAAGTCTCCAAAAATATCTTTGGTGGAACACCTCCATTTTTCCAAAATGGCGGCCAAATCCAGTAGTTTTTTGCTTTTTATTGAAATTCTGACTTTCCAGTCAATTGGTGAAAAGTCGTAAATACATTTTATTTTCCTCCTGAAATTATCTTTAAAATGATACCAAATACATGTACGTACAACCAAAAATAAAGCCCACAGAAATAATAAAATATTTCAAATAAAGGTTTTCCAATAAATTAATGTAATAGTCCAAGCAAACTAATAAAACAGACACAGGGATCGTATAAAATTTTGCAAGTAAACGTTTTATGGTTTTATTTTTATTTTTGTGGTGTGCAGAGTGACATATCAAAAGTTGCAAAAAATCAGTCCACGGGAAACCCCTAAATTAATTATATACTAGGATTGCTTTCAGAGCGGTGAAAGCCAGTTGAGCGGAGAAAACTTGTTTTAATATTTGTGTAACTAACTAAATAAAAAAAAACAATATATGTACTAATGCTTGTTTTATTGATTAAAATTATAATAAAAAAGTATAGATAATTTACCTCTTGACTACATCTTGTTGTGATTCAGATAGGCTACCTCTTGCAAAAGTAGATTAAATTATAATCAACGAGATTTTCTTGTTTATTAAAATCATAGGAATGGTTTAAACGTTTAAACGTTTAAAAGAAAAGTATAGAAAGTTCAGAAATAGGCTACCTTATGATTCTCTTGTTTACATTTTTCTTGTAAACAAAAAAACTGTTATAGGTACTTTAGTCCCATAAGCCTAATGTTAAAAATTTGAAATTTTAAGTTAGTTTTAAATTGCATTAGCATTATCTAATAAAAATTAGTTTGTTTACAAACCATCTCATTATTAGTCTAAGTAGTCTTGTTAAGTTTGGCTGAAATGTGTTCAGCCGTTATTGAGTGATGGTGTTATATTGTTTTTATTGAAGTTGATCCCATAGAGCTTAACCAACTATTCCATTCCAAAAGATAAAAATTATATGGTGCAACACAAATAAACAACCCGATTACCTACCTAGCCTATAGCCTACACTTTACTTTCCTAATCTAACCTTACTTCAAAACACTTAATGTAGTCACGAATACTCATAAACCCCGACCTACCTCCCCACATGCCTAAATTAGATCAGTGTTCAATCTGCGTTTTATCAATAAGTGTAATAACTTACTGTACCGTCGATGTAATTCAACATAATATAACCTATGAGGTATTATCGGATTAAATACTGATTTCGATGCGGTTCGATATATCGCTTATTAAATCCTGATTTCTAACATTGGCTGTTTCTAATCAGCTGGCAACACAAATAGGTTCCCAAGAAAGTAGTCACCGATCCGTATCCCTCCGCTCCTTGTTTATTCTCCGCGCATTGAGAAAGTAGTTCCGTATATTTTCTCGATATTCAGTGAATTCCGCGCCTTAAAAAAAATGTTTTAACGGCATTTTCTCGTTTATTAAAATCATAGGAATGGTTTAAAAACGTTTAAAAGAAAAGTATAGAAAGTTCAGAAATACCTTATGATTCTCTTGTTTACATTTTTCTTGTAAACAAAAAAACTGTCATAGCTACTTTAGTCCCATAAGCCTAATGTTAAAAATTTGAAATTTTAAGTTCGTTTTAAATTGCATTAGCATTATCTAATTGAAATTTGTTTGTTTACAAACCATCTCATTATTAGTCTAAGTAGTCTTGTTAAGTTTGGCTGAAATGTGTTCAGCCGTTATTGAGTGATGGTGTTATATTGTTTGCATTGAAGTTGATCCCAAAGAGCTTCGCTCGCTTCGCTCGCTCCGCTCAAAAATGGCGGCTTTTCCCAATATTGGACAAATTTTGCAAAAAGAGATACAGAATGCTTTTTTGCACATTTTTCGAGATATTGACTTGGGACTACTGCTACCGCCGATATTTATTGAATGGTCCGTAATTAATTTCGATAGGGGATGCTTTTTGGGCCGCCATCATGGATCTTCCATATTGGATATTAATATTATTTAATGTAATTATAGTGTTGTGACACATCATTATGAACTAGATTTCCACGCTGATTTCAATGCTAAAATCCGTTTTTAAATAGCTATTTTCTATTTTAAGACATATACAAACGAAAATTCTCCCCCATACATTGCTTATGGACGTTTCGTACTTTGACAATTTAAACACACATTGAAAACTACCACAGCCTAAGGGTGTACCATCAGGTTCAAGTATGGCGTGGAAATAGTTCACCAGCAGAACCAACAGATTGGGGTTGTTGTTTGACTGATGGTGCATATGCCCTTTATACCAGCACTACCTTCTCTATTAAAGCTCATCCACTGAAAACGTCATTCTGGTTGTGGCAGTAAGTGTAAATGCCAAAAGAGGGGTGATGATAAAAAAAAAATGGTATATGTGAGTACTTTGATACCAGAACGAACTTGTTGACATATTAACAACCCGATATATAAATCTTTTAACAAAAACTGATTTAAATAAAGGGTAATTTAATATTGTGTTGGGGGTGATGTCTACTTGTACCGGCGTCTAGTTGTACCTGCTGCATTTTGGTGACAGGCGTCTAGTTGTACCCCGTCCAAAGCTGTAGAGACAACTTGACGATGGTGCGGACGTCTAGTTGTACCTAGGTCTAGTTGTCTCTACGTCTAGTTGTACCTCTTAAAAATCTACAGATACAACTAGTCGGGAACGCCACCGTCTACTTGTACCTCATACGTCTGCGTCTACTTGTACCTACGACTACTTGTACCTACGACTACTTGTACCTACGACTACTTGTACCTACGACTAGTTGTACCTACGTCTACTTGTACCTACGTCTAGTTGTTCCTGCGGCTAGTTGTATCTCCCCTTCAACTTGTCACCAGTTTAAGGGATTTATTTTATTTCTTTAAAAATCATAGAATCTTACAACAATTTATTATAAACAACTTGCTACAAAAGCCAGGAAAATTTGGCTTGTCTGCAGCTCATTGAGAAACCCCTGTTCTTGACAACAACGTACTTGTGTCCCTTGGTACTTGTGTCCTTATCCATATTACACTTTGGTTTTCCTTTCTTTACAACCTTTTTTCAGCTCGTGAACATCACAAAGAAAATATCCGCATATCGGTGGAAATGTATTTTCCTGTCGATCTACAGAATGCCTTTATAAATTAAAATAGGCTAAAAAGTCATAAAAAAAGAATTACAAATGTTTAAAACTAACATGGGTTTAACGGGTTGCTATGCTGGTGACGAAATAACAACTAATTATGAAAATAAAATCAAAACAAAGGGAACATATTCCAATCACATTTATTATTTACAGTGTATGTTAAATGGAGAAGTGTGTAGTACATTGCATAGTTTTTGTCGAGTTTTCAACCACTGGACCTCAACTTCATTGTACACTTCATTCTTCATTGTTCAATGGGAAATCCATTGTAAACTATAAGAAATGCACACTAATCAATGCAAATACTTTAAGGTTATGTGAAAAAATATTTAAAGGAATCAGCAAAAATAGTAATACATAATTGCTGGGCAGCGGTCTATTGCAATTCATTAGGGATATACTGCTTGTATATTTAATGATATATATAAATGTTTTAATTAAATAAGCGATTTTCAGTACTAGGGCTGGAAAATTTTAATCACAACTATAGCTGCCATTTCGACCCTGGACAGCAATGCGTAGCTTTCAGCCTCCAATTAACGTCTGTAAAACTACTAAAACATTGTATTGCGGTGAAAAATATTTGCCAATCATACTCAATCGACTCGGAACACTGCAGTTCCTGATTTAATTAAGGGTATTATTAAAAAGTACTCGCGCAGTAATCAATTAAACAGGGTAACGAATTGAAGGATATATACAACTAGACTATAAGGACGCAAAATACGCGTAGGGACTACTAGACGGAGGGACCACTAGTCGTAGGGACTACTAGTCGTAGGGACTACTAGTCGTAGGGACAACTGGTCACATCCGTACAAGCTAGGTGATACTACTTGTCGGTGGGATACACGTCTAGTTGTACCTACGTCTACTTGTACCTACGTCTAGTTGTACCTCCAAACATCTGCAGGTACAACTTGTCGGGTGAGCCACCGTCTACTTGTACCTACGTCTAGTTGTACCTACGACTAGTTGTCCCTAGGCCTCGAGGTACAAGTAGACGTAGGTACAACTAGACGGAGGGACAACGAGACGCGGTCCCTTGTGTTGGGGTTTGTACCTCGTCTCCAAATAGTCTGTTTTAACTATAAATAGCTAAAATGAAAGCTCTTACATCACTGAATATTTTAAGGCTATGACGAACTGCAAGCATCAATAAGACCTGGAGAAAAATACTCTTAGATCACTGAATATTTTAAGGCTAGAACGAACCGCAAGCATTAATAAGCCCTGGAGAAAAATAATCTAAACACATTTTTAAAGTAGGATACGTCCATAAGTAATGTATAGGGGAGAGTTTTCGTTTTGATATATCTTAAGAAACGAAAAAACTTATTTAAAAACGGATTTAAGCATTGAAATCAGCGTAGAAATCTAGTTCATAATGATGTGTCACAACACTATAATTACATTAACAAACATTTATATCCAATATGGCGGATCCAAGATGGTGGCCAAAAACGCGTTCCCTATCGAAATGAAGTACTGACTACCCAATAAATATTGGTGGTGGTCCTAACTTAATATCTCGAAACAATTTGCAAAAAAGCATGTTGCATCTTTTTCAAAATCTGTCCAATGTTGGGAAAAGCCGCCATCTTTTATCATTATTTCACGGGTTTCCCGAGGACTGATTTTTGACAACTTTTAGTATGTTACTCTGCACACCCAACAATAAAAATAAAACCATAAAACATTTACTTGCAATTTTTTACACGAACCCTATGTCAGAAATTTTAGTTTGCTTGGACTATTACGTTAATTTATAAAAAAATATTATTATTTGAAATATTTTATTATTTATACGGGGTTTATTTTTGGTTGTAAGTACATGTATTTGGTATTATTTTAAAGGTAATTTCAGGAGGAAAATAAAATGTACTTACGACTTTTCACCAATATTGACTGGAAAGTCAGAATTTCAATAAAAAACAAAAAAACTACCGGATTTGGCCGCCATTTTGGAAAAAAGGTGGTGTTCCCCCAAAGATATTTTTGGAGACTTTTGATACGTTATTCACAATACCTTTCACTATCGAATAACAATGGTTTCATCTGTGTTCTAATTTTATTATTTCTAGGTTTTGCTATTTTAGCGAATTTCCCTATAGGGAAGTAGCTATTACCGTAGGTCTCATGGTAAGACCTAAGCCCGGGACCGATTTACTTTTTCATTTTGATGTCCCCAGAGGTCAAAAACACCATTCGTTCAATTTTTTATATATCTATATATATATATATATATATATATATATATATGTGTGTGTCCATCCGCACGATAACTTGAGTAATTTTTGTCCGATTTTGATAAAATTTGGTTTGAAGGTGTAAGGCAGGATAAACTTGAATGAGTTTGCGAACCAGCATGATCGGACTATGGGAACGGGGGTTTATGGGGGTTTTATGGGGTAAAAATAGGTTTTTTCCATTTTTGACCCTAAAAACACAAAATTTCACAATTTCTTTTTAAACCATTTTGTAGAGCTTAAAAAAACAAATAATTTAGTATATTGAAGCGTTATTGTGGGCCTAATTGTTACGGAGAAAATTCAAAAAAATTGTAATTTTAAAATTCCCATGTTATTCTTATGGAGAATAAGTCAACTGTTGTAGTTTGCTTGTTTATGAACATATTTTGATCAAATTTGGAAAATACATTAATTTCTTACTAAACCATAGTACCTTTTAATATTTTACATTAAAAACAACTTTTTTACCCTCCCTGTTGCAGCAAACCTAAGTACTCATTAAACTAATTCTGTTTAAATAGGGAATAAATGTGATATTTTTAAGGAGACAATTTAGTTTAAATCTAATCAGGCAGAAGGAAATTCGCTAAGTCTGCAGGTTTGCTGCGGCGGGGGTATTTTATTTTATTTTAAGGCGCCTATTATGTTATAAGTTAGTTTCAGGTGGAAGTCCATACAAACTTGTTGTCATCAACGATGATCTTGGATAACACGAAACACTTTAGCTCCAACGATGCCATAGTATTCATTGAAGGAACTCTCAACATTTTGGTTTCTATATCTGGTGTCTTTTAACAGTTTGTATGATATAGGAAATTTACCTTTCCATCCAAAACAAGTAACTAAAATTTATTATTACCATAGCCTTAGATTTTGTAGTTTTTCATGGCTGATGCATATTAATCATTATTTAAAAAAGTTTAATTGAGCTGAGCACAAGATGAGCAGATTAGATAACATAGTTTATTTTTGCAGTGGACAAGGCAGTAGACATAGCTTATGAAGCTGTGTTTATCAACGGAGGTCAGACCTGCTGTGCTGCTACTAGAACTTTTGTACAGGACAAGATCTACGATGCTTTTGTCAAGAGAGCAGCAGAACGAGCCACAAGGAGGACAGTCGGAGATCCCTTTGATGACGTGGAGCAGGGACCTCAGGTAACATTCAACTCTCAGTTGCAGCTTGCATCTGTATTATTTCATTCTATACTACTAACATTTGATCAAAATAACTTTTGTCCTTCCCGGTAGCAGCAAACCTAAGTCCAATTTGATCTCATGGTTTGACTTGTATCTAATGTTATTAAAATAGGGAATAGATCTGTCTTCAATAAGGAAGAATTGATGTAAAAATGCAATCAGACAGACCAAAATTTGCCTAGTCTTCGGGCTTGCTACGCTGGGGGTAATACTTATTAAATTGGTATTATAGTTCAACTGAAAAGATATTTTTTTCCATATTCTAGTTTGATTATGGAAAACCACAATATAAATAGAAAATCCAAACAAATTCCAATCACATGTTTTATTTACAATGTGGGGTGAAAATAGAGAAGTCTGTACATTACATATTTTTGTTTGAGTTTTCAACCACTGGTCTTGACTTGCATCGACTTCATTAGGATTCACATGAAATCTTTCAGGTCTAAGTATTTGTTCCATGAAAAAAAATTGATGTATATTTTAATAAAATATTCTTTGTTCAATAAATTGTTCTAGATTGAATGAATAAAACGAAATTACCTTTAATTAGGCTTTATTGAACAAAGAATCTAGCATGATAAAAGCTAACAATATTATCCAACTAACATCATAGTAAACAAAAACAATTTCTAAACATTTGAACAGATGCTACAATATACAGATATAAAGGAATTATATGACATTATATAAATTGTAAAAGGATACATGAATATAGGTATCCAAAACCACTTCGAAAGAACCTTTGAAAGGTACATGTGTACATATAATCAATTATTTGTAAATGCAGAACTACTGCTTTGATGTAGGGTAACTTTTGGATTACATGAATGCTGGTTAAAGACAGTTGTTAAGCTTAAGTTTTCAGACTATGCACAAAAACTATTAATTCCAACAATTTATATCAAACTTGCTCTGACATCTTAATAATATTTAGATAGTATCATTATTGTAATGATAAAATAGTATGCTTGTGCTTTTGTTAGTTAATTTACAACTATACACAAATTTATAAACCTGCATAATTCCTGACCTTAACCTTGGATGGATTTACTGCTGTTTATAAACAGTCTATCTAATATTCACAGAGTTCCTGCCAAGGATTTAAATGTTATTTACATAAATCAAAATGTGTAAGAAGCCTCTCCTCCCGTCCTTACAATTTCACAACTGGTTTGTCAAAGATTGTTTCCTCCTCTGAATACCTTCAGCATGACTGGTTAGTGGCATGGATAAAAAATAGTGGTTACTAATATATCAGCCTTAATGCTAGTGTGTGTGTGTATGAACAAGGTAGTTGTAGTGTGTGTGAACAAGGAAAACTTTTTTCCCCTTTTAATGCCAAACATTTTTAGCTGTTTGCATGAGTTAATAAAAGTTAAATTTTTAGGAGTTAATTTTTTTAATAACCTTTTATGGTGCTAATTGTGTACCTGTTTATTATTTCATGTTACAAACTAGCAAAAATGATAAGGCTACAATGGTTTTATAAATTCCAGATTGATGAAGAAATGTTTACCAAAGCTCTGAGCATGATAGAGGCCGGTAAAAAAGAAGGAGCAAAACTTGAAGCTGGAGGAAGTCAATTAGGAGACAAAGGGTACTTCATCCAACCAACAGTCTTCTCCAATGTAACTGATGACATGAAGATAGCACGCGAAGAGGTTAGATAAATAGCAAAATACGTGTAGGCCTACTATCATTGAGGAACTCCAATTAGGCTATTCAACTTTAAAGTCACAAAAGACCATGACTAGTCAAAACAAAATTAGGTACTATGATTGTAAGTTTCTTCACATCCTCTAATCTGAGGTTAAATACACTGCATAAAGCAATCGAGAGAATTGTTGTCACAGTACTGTATCTTAGCTGCTTCGTTGCTTGGTTATTTTCATATAATCAATGGTATTAGCGAATTTCCCTAGTAGGAAGCCAGCTAGTACATTGTACTCGTATTTTGTAAGACATAAGTTTGGGACCATTATAACTTGTTTTCATTTTGATGCACCTGGAAGCCAAAAACAACATTTAAGTTATTTGTTCTAATTCAGGGTTATTTTCGAAGACACGGATTACCTTCACGGAGACATTTTTGTGTGTTGTCGTTCCAGATATTTTTGTGAAAATCCAATGTTTCTGTTATTCAAGGGGTTATATAAAAAAATTACAATAATAAACCCAAATAAAAAAACATTTAAATAAATGTCTGAATATAACATAGATTATTATACCTACATCCAAAATGTAGTCTGTAGCTCTGTGCACATACACACAGATATTACTTTGAATAACACTATTTTGGATTCAGGGGAACCCAAAATGGATATTTCTATCCAAAACTCGTAACTCAAAATTTTTGATGAAAACAATACCTTATCCATATAGGCTACAATGTATAGGGAGGAAGACGATGTAATACCACTGTTTTTATAGTAAATGTTTTTCCCACTACCTCAAAAAAGTTATGGAATTTCAATTAAGGGGAGATGTACGTCCCTATGCCTGTAATGATAAAATTATGCATGCAATTGACCCATTATCTCAGAAAGTATATGAGATACATCATTTAAATTTTCCCACATAATTATATATGCTACAATAAAGACACCCAAGTAATTTTATTAAATTTAATCTATGGTATGGCATTATTTTAATAATTTATAAAATTAAAAAATATTTCTGCTGTAATTTCTGAAAAAAGATTTTTTTATTATTTTTTGTTTTGAGCTAGATGACTAATTCTACTAGGGGGTGTGTATATACATATATGTTAAATACACAGTAAACATTTGAATGATTTTGGCCAACTATTTCCTGAGATAATGGGATCTTTATGTTTAAAAATTCAACTTTCGGGGCTGCACTTTACTTGACGTCCTACACTCATTCGATTGTTTTTTCGATTCGATATTTTCATTCGATTGTTTCATTCGATATATTGTTTGGTTAGTTAGGTAGGTTAACCTTACCTAACTAACCAAACTATATATCGAATGAAGAAATCGATATATCGATCGATATTTTCATTCGAATGAGTGTAGGACGTCAAGTAAAGTGCAGCCAACTTTCGGTAAATCGCAAAAACACAGGAGAAATCGTGAACTTATACATTCCAGCTTCATAATCTTGCTTTTTTTAAGTGTCCAGGAGATTTTTTTCTTATCATCCTGTTTCTTTTCCTTATTATACTACCTAATGTAACATGTTTGTTCCCTCTAAAGCCTCTTTTCATCCAATTGTTTTTATATTTAGTCATTTTACAAAGTAAAACTCAACTCACGTTTGCACTTTCAAAACACAACTTCCACAAATAACAAATAACATAACTAATCTTTGTTTGTAAACAAAACATAAGCAGAAATGTCACTCCTCTGATCGTCAAAAAATACCAGACCTTCTTGATTTTTTTGTTACAAAAGGTGTATCCCGAGATTTTGTGACAATCGAGCAATCTCTGGACCTTTCCTCAGACCACTCACCTGTAATTTTAACGATCGCTTCAAATGTTATATTTAAACCTATTCCACCACATTTGTGCAACAAAAATACAGATTGGAATTATTTTCGTGAATTAATGGATCAAAATTTAAAGATTTCTGTGTGTTTGAAGAGCGAAGAAGATTTAAATCTTGCTGTTGAACATTTCAACAAAACAGTTCAAGACTCCGCTTGGAGAGCAACTCCAGACCAGAATAAACATACCGTAATTTAAAATCAGGAATACACTATCCAATTGAAATTAATAGGAAAATAGCCGAAAAACGCCGACTCCGTAGAATATGGCAAAACTCTAGAGACCAGACGGATAAAAGAAATCTAAACAGGGCCACTCAACAACTGAAAAGGTTACTGTTTAAATTAAACAATGACAGATTTCAAGATTTCACATCAAACCTTTCTCCATCTGAAGCTAGTGACTACTCCCTTTGGAAAGTTACAAAAAACTTAAAATGTCCACAAATTTGCATTCCACCTATTCTAAAAGAAGACGGTTCTTGGGCCAAAAATAACATCGAGAAAGCAGATGTATTTGCTTCATACTTCAAGGAAGTGTTCAAGCCATATAATATTAATTCAAATGTTGAGCAAGAAATTTTGGAATTCCTCGATTCTCCAAATCAACTTGATTTACCAATAAAATTGTTCACACCATCTGAAGTAGCTAAAGTAATAAAAGACGATTTAAACGGCAAAAAAGCCCCCGGTTATGATCTGATAACAGGTAAAGTGGTGAAAGAGCTTCCTAGAAAAGGAATAGTTTTCCTTACAGTACTTTTCAATGCAGTTTTACGCCTTGAATACTTCCCAATACAGTGGAAGGTTTCACAAATTGTTGTTATTCCGAAACCTGGTAAACCTTTAAATCAAGCATCCTCGTATCGGCCTATATCCCTTCTTCCTGTGGTTTCCAAAGTTTTTGAAAAACTTTTCTTAAAAAGACTCCAAATTATAATTGATGAAAAAGAATTGTTGCCTTCCCATCAGTTTGGATTCCGCCGAAGGCATTCTACCATTGAGCAAGTGCATAGAATAGTGAATGTAATCAAGGAAGATCTTGAAAATAAACGTTTTTGTTCATCTGCTTTTTTGGACGTAGCCCAGGCGTTTGATAAAGTCTGGCACACAGGATTATTGTTCAAAATTAAAACTTTGTTGCCCCATACATACTATGGAGTGTTGAAATCGTATTTGTCCAAACGCTTTTTTCAAATTAAATATCAAGATATAGTTACAGATGTGCATGAAATTGAATCAGGTGTACCACAAGGCAGTGTTCTTGGACCTATTTTGTATATTTTGTTCACTTATGACCTTCCAAGTACTCAGGGTATTACGGTTGCAACATTTGCAGACGACACTGCTTTTTTATCATCAAATCAGGATCCTATTCTGGCATCATCAAACCTTCAGGCTGCATTAGACGATTTGTCTCAGTGGCTACAGAATTGGAAAATTAAAGTAAATGAAACCAAATCCGTTCAAGTTACATTTACTATGTCTACAAGAACTTGTCCCCCAGTAACATTGAATAATGTCATGCTTCCACAATCCAACGAAGTTAAGTACCTTGGTATGCATCTCGACAGACGGCTTACATGGCATTCACACATTTGGAACAAACGACTTCATTTAAATTTAAAAACAAACAAACTAAATTGGCTCATTGGTCGAAATTCAAAATTATCTGTTGAAAATAAATTACTTTTATACAAAATTATATTGAAACCTATTTGGACCTACGGTATCCAACTCTGGGGAACCACTTCCAACTCAAACATAGAAATAGTTCAAAGGTTTCAATCGAAAACACTGAGAAAAATTTTACAAGCACCTTGGTTTGTCACAAATAAAGTAATTCATCAAGATACGAAATTACCCTATGTTAAAGAAGAAATAAAGAAACGAAGTGAAAAATACCAAAGAAAATTAGAAACCCATCCAAATTTCCTGGCTGTTAACCTCCTCGACAATAGTGAAGCTACATATAGGCTCAAAAGAGTCAATCCAATAGACCTTCCAAATCGTTTTTAGTTAAACTTTTTAAAAGGTTTTGTATGTTAGTGCACTTGATGGAGTGTAACTAACCCATGTTAAAATGGTTATTGAATTTACTTATTATTCTAGTATTGAATAGATTGTAAATAAATACTTGTAAAAAAAAAAAAAAATAAATAAATCAGGTGACATGTACAGACAGACCAAGGGAAGAAAATTATCAGGTTAGCCAACGGTATCAACAGAAAGCTTTTAGTAATTGAGTATATGACAATACGTTGTTGTTGGTTGCTAGGTGACTATGCAAACATTTTTTCAAAACATTATTTCTATATTATTTTTTATTCGAGTATGTATGTATTATATATAATTTTAATCACAAAATCCTAACCAATAAAAGCAATCAAAAACAAAATTTTTCAAAATTTTAGGTTTTTGGCCGTGCATCTCCCCTTATCCCAGGAGGGTACCTAGTTTTGGCCTTAATGTTTGCCTATTTTTTGCACATTTGCAAGGTTTTATTAAAACGGATCTGAGAAGCTTAAAAACAATGTTAATTATACTGTTCTATATACCATTTTGTTTGGAAAATCATGGGCTTCAATATTATGCATAAAACATAAGGAACATTTGTTACAAAAAAATCTTTTAGGTAAAAAAAAATTTTTTTTGAAAATTTTCAAAAAAAAAATAAGTTCGCGCTCAATGAAGTTGTATAAATTATAGGCCTATAAATATTTGAAGATAGCCACTTTGTTCTAAATTTTATGAGGATTACAAATATATAGTCATATAAGGAAGTAGATCTGCAAATAAATAAGTTATGGGCAAAAAACAGATTTCGGTACATAGCGTTTAGCTAAGAATGCATAGCCTAACCATAGCTAGGAATCTGGCTGATAATTTACATCAATATCACTACCTACTTCTTCAGGATCATCAACCAGCCCTTCAAAATCACTTAAATCTTCTTATAATGCACCACGTATATCACTACTTTTGATTTTTAACTCTAAAACAATGATAAACATAATAAAACACATCAGTCATCGGTCCAAGGTTAACTAACCTGTTTACAAATATGCACGTCAGCTGTCTGCTACAATTACGATCGGCTCGGAGAACATACAGCGCTTAGAGACAGACCTTTAGAAAGCTTAGAATGTAACGAAAAGAACGATACCTAACTCGATCCAGTTCAATCCGATTTTGTCAGTCATAGAGCCTTTGCTGTAAACAGTGTTTGTGAGTCGAAAAATCGACACAAAACACTACACAAAGTGTGTTGTGTCGATTTTTCGACACATAACACTCGGAGGGTTATAGAAAATCTGTTGACATTATCACAATTTGGTATGATAAATGCATACATGCATGTTGTATAGTCAATTATACTCAACCATGCCACATTCATGTTTGAAAGAAAAATGAAATAAACTCTTATCTTGTAGTGTTCCAAGTTCTTTTAGTCCTTTATAGATTAATTCCAAGTCATAAAATCATTCTCACAGTCTACAATTAATTTTATATTTAATATTAACCAGGTAAAATAATACAATTTTTACAATTTTGCCTGTTTGAATCAGATTTTTGGGCCAGTGCAGCAGATACTCAAGTTCTCCACTATAGAGGAGTTGGTGGAGCGAGCTAACAACACGAGCTACGGACTGGCAGCTGGCATCGTAACCAACGACCTCAACAAAGCTCTGGCATTTGCTAGAGCAGTGCAAGCTGGCTCTGTGTGGTGTGTTAAGAGTCCTTAGAGGCTAGCGGCCATCTTGGATAATTTCAAACTACTGCTAAAGAGTTATTTATCATCCCAAAATATTTTTTCAAACCCCAAAATGATTATAATTTAAATATCTAGTATACTGTGAGATTAGAAATGTGCTTTGTAGTTTTTAATTGTTCTTCAAGGGAGTTCATGGAAGCTAACGGCCATCTTGGATTTATTTATAATATAATAATACAATTTACCTCGTCACAGCTCTGAAGTTTCCGTGTATTATGGCCGTTTCGGCATCAAAATGCCATCCTGAGATATGTATATCCACCAGAATTGGCGTCGTCAAACTTTACACACACACGAAACACGATAAAAAACATTTAAAACATACAAAACAAGAGGCAGGCCTGTCGCGCACATGATGACCGATACGAGTACGGAAGCTGATGTGTTTCGTGTGTGTGTAAAGTTTGACGACGCCAATTCTGGTGGATATACATATCTGAGGATGTCATTTTGATGCCGAAACGGCCGTATTATACGGAAACTTCATCGCTGTGACGAGGTAATTATATTACTATATTATAATCATCAATTCAGCTTAGGGGCTAAACCATCTCTATTGATCTTTAATTTGCCTGTCATAAGAGCAATGTTAATTTTAAACAGCCGCTGAAGAGCTATTTACCGTCAACAAATATTTTTTATACTGTGGGATTAGAAATTTTCTTTGTAGTTCTTTAATTGTTTTATGAGTAAGAACGTCTAGGCTCCAAGGACTATTAATTTCTTACCCACATTAACTATGAATTTAAATTACTATAAACATAATCATGAAATATAAGTTCCTACAATCAATGTACCCTCACTACAGGGTAGCAGAGTGGTTACAATGTTTTTCTTCAAGTCTCAAGGTTGTTAGTTCAATTCCAAACAGAGTTGGTTTTGGAAGCATATGCCATTTGTCATTGGGCTATCTTATGCTATTATGCTATCTAACAAAAGGTCAACGTTACATAGTAAACAAATCAAAGTTCCATTTCAAAAATAAATTAAAATTTCAATGGCATAAGAATGTGCAAATTAAAAGAAAGAAATATTTTTGTGTGTAAAAGACCTTTTTTGGCAAAAAATTGCAAAAACTTAAATCAAACTGGGTGAAGCAAGGGGTGGGCGAGTACTAAAGTGGTCGAATATTTAAAAAAAAAGTATTTCAGTACTCACATCAACTCGAGCTTTTAATGAGTTTGCTTACCTTTTACTACTTAGTTGTTAAACTGAGAGAAGTATATTGCTTGGTTTGGATACCGCAAGGAAAAAAAACACCGTTGCAAACCTGCACACATAGCGAATTTCAGTTTGTCTGATTGGATTTTTGCTACAAAAAATTCAATAAACATTTAGCTGATATACATGTGATTTGCAGTTGGGAGGGGCCGTGGAGGGGAAAGTTTGGTTCAAGACTACCGTATGAAATAGTTCAAAATCTTTTATCGATTGTATAAACAAAATTCAATTGCACCGCTTTCGTCATATAAAAGTATGTATTTTTTAAATTGTATTTTGGTAAGTGTGGTAAAACTTTGATATGCTATTAAGTAGGTACAATATGAGTAGAACCCTTGACTATACACAGAATATACTTCCCATGTAATGTAAAAATTTGAAGCCAAAAAAACTTTGTGCAGTCTGTTGAGATGGTCACCAACTAATGACAATATTCTGTGTTAAGTGATAAATCAATCAGCTGTTTGCTATGATACTGCAATGGTTTTAATTAATATTCAACCCAATACACTAGTAGACTCTGGTGAGATGGTCCCGCGAACTTCATCTATTTTCTTGGCTTCAAACTTTCATTACACATGGGAAGTCTATGTAACACAATGGACGTATGAAACTGTATGGTTCTTTACTTTAAGTAAGTTACGCTTATTTAAAAGAGTATTTATTTGAAAAAAACCTACGTATATTTAAATTAGTGATGTGCGATACGTATCGTATCGTATCGTAATATCGCGATACGCGAGGGACGATACGATATTTCGATACGATATTTGAAAAACGATACATATCGTATCGCCTAAAATGATATTTGTATTTATATCGGCACACAGAGCGATACGATTCATGCCAAAACGATATTTTTAAGCTTTTTTTGTGCAGGCCGGGCAAACTGCAAAATCTGTACTCTGTGGATGTGTAGTTTGAAATAGGAGTTTTTGACGTCTGTATTTTTGGTTTTTACTTGATAATGTACCAGTCCCATCCCAGTCCAGTCCATTTCCACTAGCGTGCTATTTAGCACTAGCAGTGCAGAGTGTGGGAACTGTCTGTGGCAATTACATTAATGTATCTGCAATCCTCAAATGCTATGGGAAGGATAGGGAAACAGGTCCATGACATAGGGAGTTGTGAAGGAAGTAGTAAAGGCGAGCAGTGTGGAGTGTGGAAATGGATTAATGATTAATGTATCTGCAATACTAAGACTGTTTTCAGAGTAAACTAATGATTTTCCCCGAGCAAAGCTTGGTCCCCAGGTACTTATTAAAATTTGCCGTTTCTAGGTTAGGTAGGGGAGGGGGGAAACGATACTTTTCGATATTTTTGACGATACGATTCGCGTATCGCGATACAGACGCCCGATTCAATATGGCGAAACGATATTTTTTCCCGATACGTATCGTATCGCTGTATCGCGATAGGTGTCCGTATCGCCCATCACTAATTTAAATAATGTTGCATGAGGGTGCACTGTAAAGCAACAAATCAGTTGGTTGACATTGGTGTAATATCAAATAGATGTGATTTAGGCTACCCAAAAAGCTCTATTATCCCTGAAGCTCATTATACCAATCGATTATTACTTGAATTTTATTTATGCTATAGAGGTTATAGAACAAGGCCTAAAGCATTAGTTTTTTCTTGAAATTATAAACTGCAAGCTTAATTTGAAATCGGTTTGTAAATGGCTACAAAATACCTCATTTATTATTCTTGGAAGCTTTATTTTTATACTAGCAGAGTACCCGTCCCTCGTAAGGGGTTGGTGTACAAGTATTAAATGCTTATTGCAGTTATACTCGGGCTTTGTGTTTTCAATGGGGGAGGACACGGTTTGAGAAAATTTGGTTCTTTTAATTTACGGTACCGGTATGCTATAGTTTAACACATCTACCATAGCCGTAATGTTCTACCACTGCACCTAAACAATAGAAAAAAATAAATTATCAAACATTCGCACAATATCACTAATTATTTATAAATCAAAAAATAAACATAGCTGTAAAAAATCCTATTTTGTCAGTTTCTGTTGTGTATCACAGCTTTTTGTTGCTGCTTGGTTCAAATTAGCCGTTGTCATAGATGAAAAAAATAATAGCGCTGCACCCTTTGGTAAACCCTATAACTTTTTAATGCTATTGATTATCATAGAACCACCTTGTGTAGTGAAACAGCTGGCAAAATTATTTAATTAATTTAAAATACGAATACTGGTAAGGTTGACATGGGAATCTCCAGAGCCACTGGGGCGGAGCTGGAAAGGATCTTTGAGATCAGAGTATGTCTATATGTTAATCGGGAACGTAAGCTATCATCATACCAAATTTCAGCTCAATCCAACCAGTAGTTAAAGCGTGATTGAACTTCAAACAAACACAAAATTTCACATCTTAATACATAAAAGAAAGTTGTGTTGGTTACAGCGTTTATAACCAGAAAACTACTGAACCAATTGGCATGAAAATTTACAGGGATATTCCTTAGGTACTAGAATAACATAATAGCCTGTTTCCGTTTCAAAAACCCTTAAGGGAAGCGTCCTATGGCCCTTTGCAGTTTACATGTTAATCTTATGGAAGAATGTTTTATTTTGATTAACATGCCATGTTTGTCATTTCTTGATTAAATTAAATTAAGGAAACAGCTGTTGTAATGATAACCTAATTTTTAAAAACAAATCTATTCATAACAAATGAGAGCTATCAAATAGGTTTCTATTCCATTTGTTTTTTACAAATATTTGTTGTTAAATGTAACTGAAGGCAAGTGAGCGCAGCGAACGAGCTCCAACCTAAAGGTGAGTGAGCGTAGCGAACGAACTTCAACCAGGACGTGATTGAGCCATGCGAACGAGCTCATCTTGAAAATGAACGAGCATTTGACATAAAACCACATTAGGACAGGACGACGTCTGTCGGGCCAGCTAGTTTATAATAATAGTAAAGCAATCATGCAAAGCTCAAAGCTTGCAATTTTTTTTTTTTTTTGTCCACTTACATTTTACAATTCACTAGGCGAAATATTATAACATATTTATTAAATTATCTCTTTATGCTATGTACTGCTTGTCATAACATTTTACAAATTACTGGTAATTTTGAAACAGTTTAATACAAATAATAAATTTTATATTCCTTTAAAGTTTTAACTATTCATATCAGCTTAAAAAATTAACGATATAGATTTACAATATAGATGTTACATTCCTATTCTATAATCTATGACATGAGATACCAAATGTGCTAAAGCTTATATAGCAATAGGTACTCCTTCCTGATAATTTATAAATAATTTAGTATATTGAATCGTTATTATGTGCCTATTGGTTACGGAGAAAATGTAAAAAAATTTTAATTTTAAAATTTCCATTTTATTCTTATGGAAAAAAAGTAAACTGTTGTAATGTAGTTTGCTTGTTTATGAACATATTTTGATCAAACTATTAACATAAAAAAAACTCAATTTTTTATGCGATTTTCTTTAACTTGGTGTTGTTTGATACCAAAATAAAGCTCATCAAACAGGCAAAACAGACCTCGGCTTCGCCTGGCGCATTAAACTTGAGCTCGGACCAAAAAGAGTCACTTAGGCCCTAGTAACGAAATATACTTTTTATTTTTCATCTAATCAAAACTGTATTTTTCTATTTAAAATATTTTCCAGGGTGAATTGTTTCAACATAGTGACATACCAGGCACCGTTTGGCGGGTACAAAGAATCTGGGTTTGGAAAAGACATGTAAGTTAAACTGTTTTTTTTTCATTATAATGAAATTAGAGGGATCTTGAATTATTTCATTGAAAGTTGTAGTTATAACAGACACACAAAACTACATAATTATTTACATAATACAGATATTAAGGGGTGAATATACAGTGTGATTGAAAAGTTCCAAAACGGTGTAATATATTTTACCATTATAGATCAAGTAATGAGACTTCGAATATCAATAATAACCATCAATGTCTACTCTTTTAAGCTATTATCACTTTTTTATCTCCGAATGGCGTGGCCCACGAGGAGTCAGAGAAAATTCTTAAATAGCAGCATATTTTTTATATAGGTACTGTTCTTTTATGTGATTTTACCTACGACTGTTTCTGTTTTTTAAGCTAGTCGTTTCAATTCAATTCTTAGAATTGAAAACATTCACTTAACATTAATGGTTTTACTTAACAACACAAGTGACCAATGAGGTTCAAGGATTGAGAGAATTAAAAATTGTAAGAAGTAAAATTGTAATGCTTTGAACTTCAACTAATCAGCTGTTTACCATTCAAGTTTTTAATGATCGGTACAATTAGTGGTTTGTACTGTTACATAATAGTATAGCCTATAATATCTTTATATATAGTAGCCTACCTTTGCTATTAAAGGACTCTATGATACATAAGGCTGTGGTGTGAGGTGTACTATTTTTGTAACTCAATGTAGGAAGAACTAACTTATGATGATGTAATAAATGTACTTCAATGCTTAAGCATGGTGTATTAATATTATCCAAGTTAATCTTGTTTAATTATAAATATTACTTAAGTAATATTGAACATGGTGTAGGTGTGGCGTAGGTGTTATTTTTTCATCTACATAACATCGATGTTAAAGACTTTGTTATAGAAATGTAAATGAATTGGAAACTAACCTAACATGGATTTCAAGCCGCCGCGTGGGTTAGTAATTGATTCAAATGATTCAAATGATTCAAATGATTCAAATGATTTATTTGGCCATTCAGTTCATATACAGGACAATAGGCTACGTCAATACAATAAATAATAAATAACATGCCAAGCTTCTTCTAGCATTCTTGACTGACAAAATTAAATTGAAAGCTGAAAAAAAAAAACACATGCAGGATCTCAAAAACATGCAAAGCAGTGCATGCAACTAAAAATACAAATAAAATGAAAACCACATGCTGCAAGCCATGCAAGGCAGAGAAAAATAAATACGATAATGACGATAATGTTGCTAACAATTGGACATTATTTAAACAAAAGTTCAAAAACTTTCTGCTCGCCTCAGGGAATGAAAGCAAAGAAGACAAGGTGAAAATAGCTATGCTGCTAAATTGCATAGGTGATGAAGGTATAGAAATCTACAACACATTTAAACCCGAAGAAGCTGATACACTGCAGAAGGTAAATGAACAGTTTGATAATTATTTCATGCCCAAGAAGAATATTGTATATAACAGGTATAAATTTTTTACAAGAATTCAGCAAGAAAATGAATCAATTGAACATTTTGTAACTGCTCTGAAGAGTCTAGCAAAGCCGTGTGAGTTTAAAGAAGACGAGGAGAGTCTAATTCGTGATCGTGTAGTGATTGGTATAGTGGATAAACAGCTTCAAGAAGTACTTCTTCGAGAAAGTGACCTAACCTTGACTAAAGCTTTAAATCAGTGTCGAGCCGCTGAACTAAGTAGACAGCAAGCGCAAATAATGCAAGGTAAGGTAGGCCTAAGTTCATATAATAGCATAGGCTTACATGCCATTAATAATACAAGACCTAAGTCGTACAATAATGGAAGAAGTTTTAATTCTCAGAATAAAGCTAGTAATACTAGGCCTAATCAAAAACAAAGCTACCAGTCTTCTACAGTACGTGAAGATAAAAAGACAGCTCAAACATACAAGTGTTATAAGTGTGGAACTGAACATACAAAGGCTAACTGTCCAGCGTACGGAAGAACGTGTAAAAAATGTGGACTTAAGAATCATTATGCCATTGGTTGTCAAAGAAGTGCCAATAAAAGTAAGCCAAATCATAATAAAACTGTTCATGAAGCTAAGCTAGGGCTAGAGGAAATGGAAGATATTTTTATAAGTGCCCTATTCCAAGAAGACACAAGTTCACAGTCCAGTCCGCAGCATGCAGCCCAAGGAGGAGTCCAGTTCAAAGATGTGTCCAGAGAGGTCGTCGAGAAGATCAACAGCATGGAGAACAATAAAGTGAAAGTGTCATCGTGGATGCAACAAGTTAAAATTAATAATCAAAGTGTTAGTTTTAAACTAGATAGTGGTGCTGAGTGCAATGTGTTACCTGAACATGTAATGGATCAGTTGCAGCTATCCAAGGTCAGTTTAGAGCCTAATTATAGCAAAATCCTAAGCTATGATAATCAGGAGTTAAAATGTTTAGGAAATGTAATTCTTGATTCGGAGGTCAATGGAGTCAAATACAAAATTAAATATGTAGTGGTCAAAACTAAAAGTGTTCCAATACTAGGGTTAAATGCTTGCATAAAGTTAAATTTACTTCAAAGAATTAATAATTTAGAGTTAGATTCAGAGAGTTTAGCGTCTAAAATGAAGTTTGTAGACAAGCATAAAGAAGTTTTTACTGGTATAGGTAAATTTCCTAGGAAATTACATCTCGAGCTCAAAGATGGTGCTAAACCTGTTGTAAATTCAGTCCGAAGAATTCCTGAATCAGTCAAGCCTAAGCTTAAAGAGGCCCTTGATAGGCTAACAGAATATAATGTAATTGAACCAGTTGATTATCCAACTGATTGGGTAAATAATATTGTAATAGTAGAAAAACCAGACAAGTCCTTACGAATATGTTTGGATCCAATTCAGCTTAATGAATGTGTAAAGTTAGATCCGTATCCAATTCCATCGTCAGATGAGTTAGAACTATTGTTACGAGGAAAGTCTTATTTTACAGTACTTGACATGAAAGATGGTTTTCATCAAATAGAATTAGACAATGAAAGTAGCTTGCTAACTACATTCATAACTCCTTTTGGAAAGTTTAAGTACAATAAACTACCATTCGGGTTACGAGTAAGTCCAGAAATTTTTCAAAGATATAATGTTCAAATGTTTGGTGACATTCCTAATGTAGGAATCTATTTTGATGATTTTATAATTGCTACGGAAACAGAAACAGAACATAACACAGTCTTAAATCATGTAATGGAAAGAGCGTTAAAAAACAATGTTAAGTTCAATGCTAAAAAGTTACAGTTTAAAGTAAGTAGTGTTAAGTATCTAGGCATGATATTTTCAAAAGAAGGTGTAACTCCAGAACCAGAACGTGTAAAAAGCATTATTGCATTAGAAGAGCCTAAAAGTAAAAAAGAGCTACAAAGTGTTTTAGGGGTAACTAACTATCTATCTAAGTTTGTTCATAACATGAGTCAGTTAACTGAACCTTTAAGACAACTTTTAAAGAAAAATGTTGATTTTGTTGGACAAAAGATCATACAAAAGCATTTGAGACACTTAAGTCTAAGATTGCTGAAGCGACATCGCTTAAAATATTTGATCCTAAAATAGATTGTGAAATTTTTGTTGATTCATCCAATTATGGGTATGGAGCATGTCTTTTACAGCAAGGCTGTCCGATAGCGTTTGCGTCTAAAGCACTAACCGATACAGAGTTAAGGTATCCAATAATAGATAAAGAAATGGCAGCTATGTGTTTTGCGTTGTCTAAGTATCATAAATTCATTTATGGTCAAAAGGTTACTGTGTATACTGACCATAAGCCTCTAGTTTCGATTGTTTCCAAGAACATGCATAAAGTTTCCAATAGGTTACAGAAGTTTAAACTAGAACTACTCAAGTATAACATTGAAGTAAAATACTTACCTGGTAAATCTAATGTACTAGCAGACTTATTGTCAAGGAAAGTTGATAAGAACATGAATGATAAGAATGATAGTTATTTAAACAGTGAACTTGAAAAATCTGTAATGGTACATAGTCTAAGTAATCAGTTAAGTATGTCTGAGAGTAAAAAGCTACAGTTTAAAATTGCTACTGAAAATGATGAAGTTTTGAACAAGGTTATCAAATACGTTAATGAAGGGTGGCCTGGTTATAAAGTATTGGATAATGCATTGAAACCCTATCATAAGATTAAGGATGAAATTTCCCATGAAAATGGTTTGCTATTTTTTGGTAACAAGATCATTGTTCCTTCTGTATTGCGACAAAGTATGCTAAACCTAATTCATGAATCACATCTTGGTGTAGTTAAATGCAAAGCTAGAGCAAGACAAATTTTGTTTTGGCCTAACATAAACAGGGACATTGAAAACCTAGTTTTAAGTTGTCAAATATGTGAAAAATATAGGTTTGCAAATGGCAAAGAACCATTGTTAAATCATGAAAAGGCTACTAGGCCTTGGCAGTTTGTATATAGTGACATACTAGAGTATGGTGGAAAAAATTATTTGGTTGTAAATGATGCTTATTCTAACTGGGTAGAATTAAGAAAGCTATTTGACAAATCAGCTAACAGTGTCATAAGAGTTCTAAAACATATTTTTTCGCAGTTTGGCGTACCAGATCGTTTTGTTTCAGATAATGTTCCTTTTAGTTCTCACATGTTTAAATCGTTTGCAAATGAATATAATTTTGAAAGTGTGACCAGTAGTCCTTTTTATCCAAGAAGTAATGGTAGATCTGAGAAAGCAGTGGCGATATGCAAAAATCTGTTGAGAAGGGCAAAGGACAGTGGTAAAGATATCGAATTGTTGCTATTGGATTATAGAAACACTCCCCTTAACAATGTTAATATTAGTCCAGCACAGTTATTTTTAAATAGAGTATTGAAGTCAAAAATGCCTATAAATACAAAGGCATTAAATCCAAAAATAGTTCATGTCAACAGAGATAGGTTAGATGAAAAATCTAAGTTGTATTACGATAGGACATCAAAGTCACTATGTCATTTTGATAAAGGTGATAATGTTTTGATTCAAAAAGGTAAAGAGTGGATAAGTGGTAAAGTCATTGAAAAGTTAAACTTTCCCCCCAGAAGTTATGTTGTTCAGGATAGATATGGTCAAGTGTATCGTAGAAATAGAATTATGTTAAGAAAGTGTTATTCTAAGGTTATTCAGTCTGATTATTCTGATCTAATCGCACAAACTAATTTTGGGTTAGAAAATATTGAAAGGCCTAATCAGAATGAGTTTGAGAATAATGTTAACATACCAGTACCAGTACCTAATGTTTTACCTAATAGGCCAGTAACAAACCAAACCACTAGATTCGGTCGAACCATCAGAAAGCCTAACCATTTGAAGGAATATGTTTAAGTCTGTCTGTTCATTTGTTTAATCAACATTTGTCTTTATGGATTTAAATCATTTTGATTAAAAAAGGAGGATGTTACATAATAGTATAGCCTATAATATCTTTATATATAGTAGCCTACCTTTGCTATTAAAGGACTCTATGATACATAAGGCTGTGGTGTGAGGTGTACTATTTTTGTAACTCAATGTAGGAAGAACTAACTTATGATGATGTAATAAATGTACTTCAATGCTTAAGCATGGTGTATTAATATTATCCAAGTTAATCTTGTTTAATTATAAATATTACTTAAGTAATATTGAACATGTACAATAGTGTTGCATCACTGTCAGTGGCAATGAGAGGTTATAAACAAAAACATAACCTCTCTTATAAGTTATGAGTAATGATTTTTAGTAATTAAAAAACAGTCGTAAGTAAAGTAGTGTATGCAACTCGCATAGATAGTCTTAACGGTACTCACAGAAGTTTTTAAGGCACTCGCCAAGGCTCGATTAACACTATCTTTACGATATCCTTGCGTTAACTACTATATCACAATCAGTAAGTGATTATTTATTTTTTTTACATATTAATTTGTATTTTATTTCTTTTATTGCTCTAACATTATTGCCATTGAAATGGCAGAGCATAACTATGAATTTTATATTGTTATCACTTTTGAAAAATAATGACATGTAAATAAATTGCATAGTTAACCTTTATAAAACATTTTCTGTTTCCAAAAATGTTTGATTATACTGACATTCTTGGCTATCTTTACCAGTATACCTTAAATAATGTAGAGTTATGAAGACCATAACTTTACATAGGTAATCAAAGGTATACTGGTACTAAGAGCTCAAAACATGTTTATAAGTTACAGTCAAAAATGTTAATCACAGACAAAAGAAATCCAGGTCCTTGAACTTCAAGTTAATAGTGTATTGTAGTACATTAAGTACAAATGAAAATTGACTTGGTAGAGTGAGACTTTTCTGAATTTTAAAACATCAATTTGTTTAAGTAGGCTATATTTCTATCATTCATAATAATGCTCAACCAATCGCTTTTCAGGGGTGAGGAGGCAATAGAAGACTACCTGAACATCAAAACAGTGACAATTGCCTTATCACAATAACTTTCTGTACTCCAATCAATGAACAAAAATCAGTCAAAAAATATGATCAACACAAGACAAAATACACAAATACCTGAAATACAAAACAAAAAAAGCTTCCAGGATGTCGATTGTTGATAAGTAGAGAAATTTGTTTTAATCTCGTTCAAAGGTGTTCCTTGTAAGAAAATATCTTCTGTACAGTCACCAAATATAGGACAAATATTATACAATGTTACAGCCTCATGTAAACTTCTTATTTATTTAATTAGTTTGCTTCCCAATCAACCACATGCACACTGTGACAAATCAGTTGTTTTCTAACAAAATTGCATTGCCTTCAGTTCAATGTAGTGTCACAATGATAGATTTTGCCTTCTTACTTAATAATTTACTGTGGTTAAATAATAATAAACATACAAGAAGTTAAAAAAGTTTTTTTACAAGTCTAAATTGTGTTTTCTTTTGCTCCTTCCTTATGCCAATTGGTGTGTCCTAACAGGGATTTTCAGGACAGAAATTTGAATTGTGGGATAGTACAGGCAAGCACATTATGCCACTTAGTTTTTCAGATGTTGCATGATATTAGGGTCTACCTCAAATTGAAGCAGAATAGAAGCAGAATCTCTTATGCAGCCCATAGGAGTACAAATAAGCCTTTAAGTTTCTTCTTCTTAAAATCAGTTGTTAATTGCTGAAAAGCTTTATAGTCCTCTGGGGTGGGTTTCTCATAGTATTCACTTTCGTTACAAGACCATACACTGTTGGATGAATTATAAATTTCCTTACATAAACACTGTAGTAAGCTGACAGATCTATCAGCTGACAGATGTTTTAAATATTTTATTGAATTTTGGTTGCTAAGAAGAAAAAAATTAACAAATAGATTCTTTTCCAACAAAAGTGGTTCATTTTTATTTGCACTAAACAATTATTTGTTAATTACTTTTAAAAATATGTTAAATTAAAACAATAATATTTAGTGGAAACCTCTTGACTTTATTTCAAGTATTCTCCTATTTAAAAGTGGTTCTTTCCATTAAAATTGGTGACCCCGATTTGAACACATCAAGAACACATAATGGAAGTCAATGAAGAAGTATTGACAAGACTAAAACTGATGGAAGAGCAAAACCAAGATCTCAGAAAACAACTTAATGATGTCATTGGAGTTGACTCTGAACATTCAAGACAAAATCATGATTCAGAAGAAGATTTTTTGGTTAATCCAATGAATCAGAAAATTCAAGAAAGAAACAATTCAGTAAATCCAAGACCGTCTGACAACACAACTTCAATGCAATCTCCACAATTAAAATTTCCCCATTTTTGGCGTAAGAAACCAGCACTTTGGTTCACACAGATTGAGGCGATTTTCTCTTTATGGCACATTTTTGATGAGAGCCTTCGTTTCACACACGTTGTGACACACTTAGATGAGATGACTGCTTCCGAAATAGAGGATTTACTCTCAAACCCAAATCTAGAAAACCCTTACACGAGCCTGAAGAAAGAATTAATAAGAAGATTATCAGTCTTGAAACATAAGAGAATTAAACAGTTACTCGTAGAAGAAGAACTCGGTACAGATACGCCATCACACTTTCTCAAAAGACTGAAAACGTTAGCTGGCAGCAGCGTTCAAGATGACTTGCTGAGTATCATCTGGATGCAGCGACTTCCTGCGCATATTCAAGGCATCCTGCAAACCCAGTTAGGCGCTGGTGTCAGTACCGAATCATTGGCCGTTACAGCGGACAAGATTCAGGAGGTTCAACCGCAATAAGCTGTGACGCTATTTTGTCAAATCGAGGTGAGCCAACGGATACCTTTTCTCAGACCCCACATAGTCACAACAATCTCAATCAAGGAGGAGGTTTTGAGGCAATTTTGGAGAAACTTTCAATGCTAGAGGAGAAAGTTAACTGTCTTTCAGACGACTTGATGACATATAAAAATAAAATAAAAATAGTAAGTTCAGATCACAAAGTCAAAGCCAGCCCGGTAAACAGCATAGTACCTCACCCCACAATGACATCTACTGCTGGTATCATAAACGTTATGGATCATGTGATGGTAGGACGACTTTAATTTTGGGGAAGTATGTAATTTAATAATAAACTTAAAAATTCATATTGTAAATGATTTTCAATCAATCAAACAATTGTAGAAGTATCAGTTACAGCAGTTGGTTGTGTAAAGTAGATTGCTGAGTGTAAGCAGTTTTGTGCTGCTTCTTGCATTCAGTAGGTTCAATACCCAACAAATTGCTGATTATGGCCTTACCCTCTCTCTTTGCAGCCAAATTGAAAGTACCATCGGTGGTAGACCTTTTACCAATAGTTCACTCTTCCTTAGGAACCAGCGCCGGCTGGCCAAGGTAAGGCCGTTATACTCTTTTAATATTTTTGGACTTAGAGCACAGATAGATTTGAAATACTAATAAAAAAACACTTAATACTTGTCATATTAAATTCATATTTTTAATAACACAGAGTTATTTGAAATATTATATATAAATTTACCAATTTCTATTGCCTCTTTGGTTGAATAGTTATTTTGAGAATAATAACATAAACAATTATATTTGATTGGAAATCATATTTTGTCATTTAGTATTTGCCATTCATTGTTCTTGATATAATATCTATATTCTATTTTTCCCTTTATCTCTGTAATTATAAATAATACTTGTGTTGACAATATAATATAGAATTTTGTATAATCGAATCTCGAGTACCTTTCTTTGTGCTCACTGCCAAGCGAGCTCATCCCCCACAATATATTATATAATAATAAACATCATTTAAAAGAAGTAACACCTAAAAACTAACCGTTACAATCACGAGCCACCAAATGCGTGACTCCATGCACTTATCCTTCTACAAAAAACGAACTAGGCAACTAGATGCGGTGTCGACTAGTTGTCATGTGCCTAGACGCCAAACTCATGAACCACCCGGAGTTGACAGCAACCACAGCAACAGGTTACAAGTAATTGATAACAATTCAGGCTATAAGTTTCTGATAGACACAGGTTCAGACGTAAGTTGTATACCACTAAATTTAGTAAAAAGACCCTTAAAACCATCCGGGATAGAACTCAGAGCTGCAAATAACTCTGAAATACCCACTTATGGTAGTTTATGTCTCAACTTAAATATTGGTCTACGAAGAACTCTAGTCTGGAACTAGCTGTTGTACCCGTGCTTTGCAACGGGAAGAGGACACAAAATACAAACATTTTGATCTTTACATTTGTTGTATAAAATAGTTACACATATAGGCTACCACTTTTAGAAACAAAATTTGGCTGCACTTTAGTATCTGTCCTACACTCATAACAATGAAAAATATCAATATAGGCTATGGATTATTCTATATATTCATTTAAATTAATAGTACTGTGCCCTGTCAGTAAACTTTATAACTTGTTAATGCGAATTTGATATCACAGAACCAACTTGTTAGTCTAGTCAATAAAGCGATTGTAGAGGACATGGAGAGGGGGAAATTTTTTTTTGCGGGAATGTGTTCGGGGTAGTTAGAAGATAAAAATACCAAAAGTCCCCGCCCCTGGCCCTGCTGCTTCAGCGGGGGGAGGGGGGGAAAGACCCCATTTTTTAGTTTTTTACTTCTACACTGAAAACCGTGCATCGTACGGAAAAAATGTAAATTATAAAAAGAAAGATGATGAAATTCTCTACAAGAATTGTTGTATTCATTTTTCCGTATATGCATTGGTTTAAAAGATATTCTCAAAATAATATAAAAATTCTTAAATAAATTGATTTTTCACGCGTTTTTTGTCAAATAAGTTTATATATTCCATTAGCCTGTTGTTGTTTCACATCAATCAGGATAGAAAACAGGTTTTTGAACACTAACCTATATAATATAATATATCAATCGTATAAATTGTGTTAAAAATAGTTTATATAAATTTAAATAAATTATGTATATTTGTCATGGAAACAAGTAATTTTGGCATAATTATTACACTAAAAATTAAAAAGATTATGTTTGTAGCTATATTTGTCCAGGTTTATTTATATCAATCACCGAAACCAAGACTTAATACCGTCCATATAACTCCCATATAATATTGAGTCGTGGATCTTTCCATAATCCAATTCTTATTCATTAGACTCAATATCTATACTGTTAATACTGTTCTATGAAATGGCAACCATACAAAGTAGGTATTTTAAACCAATTGTGAATGGAGATGAGTGTAGGATGAGTGGTGCGATCTTGTAGTCTTGTTAGTGACTAAGGCCGACTTATTCCTTAGACACAGCTGTTAATTAATAGCTTATACAGCTAATGGCAACTAAGGGACCTACAGTTTATAGTGGAATCCGAACCACATTTTTACGTTGGTAATTACGAATTGGTCTAATTATCAGGATAGTACTGCGGATAGTCGTAGTACTCACCCGTGTGGACGTTAATCCACACCAGGGAGTATCGCATCCACCTTGCATGCCTATAAATATCTACAATTCGTATAAAGGGGGGGACATAACCGTATCTATATCATTATTATAGATAGCTGTGTGCCCGTTCTACGCACGGGGATCTTATAGTAGTCAGTTGAAACCTTCTTATATTAAGATTAAGAGCAGCAATTAGTTTGCATATTTGCAGATATGCTGGCAAAACTATTATATATAAACCTTCGCAAATACAGTATCTGACAGTTCAAGCCAAAATAAATGCTTCGCAATTAAATGTCGCCCGGATCGTGTTGGTCCATATGTCCAATGATTAAACTTAAAAATGTTTTATAGATCCATGAAGCGTAGCCCTAAAGAAGGCCTATAATTGAAAGTTACTTTCCACATCAGTTAACTTAAACGTATTTAAAGTACTACCTCAACCTCACCATTTAACACTTTATTCCGGTTGACATTTTCAGTATCAAAGGTGCTCTTGTCCATTCCGTGAAACACTGAGAAATAAGGACATTAATGCGTTACCAACATACAACAAAACAACACAATACAACAATCCAACAAAGGCCACGAACTATTGTTACATAAACAATATAAAGGCGTAAACAATTCATGATGGTTTGCCCAACAAATGTTTTACTCAAATAGGTTATCATTTTCTTAGCATACCGGGTAAGCTAAGATTTGGAATCCAGGCAGAAAAAGCAAAACTTATACAGAGTTAAGACATCACTTAAATTGAATACGGACGGCTCTAATAAATAAGGTGCAACACCAACGATATCTAATTTGTAAACTACCGGTTCTAAGGAAAAGAACCAGTACCTACGTAAGAACCTACCTAAGAATTACAGTAAATCGGACCAATTAAATACATTAATATCTAGCTTCGAGGTTATTGATCTCTTGCTTTTGGATTTTCTCGTAAAAAGTTATAGCGTAAACTTATCGGTGTCAGTTTGAAAAAAAAGCAACCTTACCCA